CATTTCAGGCAATTAAATTTCAGAACCTCAAGGTTTCATCCAGGTTACTTTTATGTACCTAACTAACTCAACGGGGAACCATAATTCTACCCGAAAGTACTTATCACCACAGGGCTAGGCCACATGTCCCCTGACTAGGAGGAGTACATAGCTTAAAATCTGGTGTTTAATTAAATGTGCACAATATTTGGGTATAACTGGAATTTTAAAAATTCAGTAATAACCATTACAAATAACTTACATGGACAGACCCAAAAATAACTGGTTAGCTTTGAAATAAAAAGAACCACCTGTTTAATAACATATTTATATCTTGGTAAGAATCAACCACTGTGACCTGGGAGAGTCCAGAAATTCTTGGGTTTACTATAACAACATGCTGATAGGTTTTTCAAGGTACTTTCTAAACTCAGCAAGCCACTGGGCTCCAACTGCTCCATCCACAACCCGATGATCACAACTGAGTGTGACAGACATCATGCTAGCCACATCAAATCTAGAAAAAGATAAAAACTGTATTAGGTATTCTGAAAGCAATCACTGGATTTTAGCCAGTAACCAGCCCAAATGCCAACTTCTACCCTATAATCCCAACCAGGTTAACATTATTTTCCACCTACTTCTCATGTCCTGTATATTTCTAGCCCAAAATAATAGCTTGAAGAAAGAGACCAAACAGCCATCTGAAGCATGGATCAGCAAACTATAGCCCACAGGCCAAATCCCACCAAATGCAGGTTTTTGGAATTCATGTAGATAGTGCCTATGGCTGCCTTCACATTACAATGGCAGAGTATTTGCAACAGATAACCCAGAAAGCCTAAAATATTTACTATCTGGCTATTTAAGAAAAAGTATGGTGACCCCTGACCCAGAGTAAATAAGGCTTCCCATCGCAAAGAAGATGAACAACATTTATTAAAATAAGAGTTGCTGCCCTGAGAAACTTCATTCTATACTTATATCTGACTCTACCTGAAGCTCTAATATGCCATGCCAACAATTATAAAACTGAGACTCAAAAACAGGTATAATGTAATGAAAATGACCTTAGAACTCCCTCTCCATTTTGACACTTACCCTTTTTCATTATCTGCTGGAACTAGTCTATCCTCTGAAGCACCAACTGCCAAGATACATGCTTGAGGTGGGTTAATAATAGCAGAGAAGTTTTTAATTCCAAACATTCCTAAATTGGAGATTGTAAAAGTGCCACCCTAGAGAAAAAAAATATTAATAGACATTAACTGCTTGTCAACATAAATCAGAAAAAATGACAAATGAAAAGACCTTAAGATAATCTTTTACTTTAAGAAAGGCCTCTAAACTACCATAAAAAAAAACAAAAGGAAAATGGAAATATACGAAGTAAGACATGTGAATTAGCTTGACTGATAATTTCAGTGTATATATACATCGAAACATCAAGTTGTACACCTTAAATAATATACAATTCTTATTTGCTAGTTATACATCAATAAAGATTTGAAGAAAAAAAAAGGCCTGAATGTAATACCCTTTCTTGAAAATATACAACCATTACAATATGAACAAAAGTCAGTTGTGTGGCTTTGTACACTAGTTAGCAAACGTCTTATTTTCAGCTTTTGATAGGTTACTCAATTTTTCTTTATTTTCTGGATCTGTGTCAGTGAAAATAAAAGACTGAATTGAAAGGTGGAAAATAACAAAAAAAACATAATGCTAAACTTAAAAATAATGTAATTCTTAACATTCAAAAGGTTAATAAATAATGCCTTACCTGGAATTCGTGTGGCTGCAGTTTACCTTCTCGTGCTTTGGTTGCTAAAGAAAGAACATCATTAGCAATGGTTTCCAGTCCTTTTATATGTGCATTAAATACAATAGGTGTGATGAGTCCTGCAGGAGTACTGACTGCAACACTGATATCAACAACATGATTTCTATTGAAAAAGAAAAAAGGAAAGGAAACCTCAATAATCATCAGTATTGTTTATTAAGAGCTTATGTGTCAGGTTAAGCAAGAATATTGGTATCTACTTCAGTTTATACCACTGTTCAGCTAGAAAGAGATAGCTTTCCTGGTTTAAAATATGAATGAGAAATGTGTCAGTAGGTTGGTTTCACATGCACTCTAACTTTCCTCCCATCTGCCTTGACTAACACATGGGTGTAGGAAAAAAAGGGCTCAATATTGAGTGAGAATTAAACAAAAGGAACTCCTTGAATTTTAGACAAAGTCGATTGGCTGGAATTGAGTCTGCAAGCAGAGCTTGAGCAGATTTAAGGAAGAGTGAAAGGAAGGACTGCATTGTGGGAGAAACAGGAGTGCTCAGGATATGGGATGGTGGTACCTCTAAACATAAGATCCCTAATTTTTTCTATGCCATAGCATCTTTGCATTTGGGTCCCTTTTCAGAATTTTTTTTTTTTTAACACAGAAAATACTCGACTCACCAAAAAAGCAAAAACTAAAAACTATACTGAAATTCAGTTATCAAATTATTCAAAAAACAAAATTGTGATATATGTGCTATTAACTCATTAACGAGATCTTGCAGCAGGTCTAATAATGGCTATAAATCTTAAAGCAGTGGTAAGCAAAACAATATTTTGAGATACCTGCAACAACTACGATGTGATATGAAAATAACTGATTTTTACTGGTCACTAGCACAAGTACTATTAGTACCTCTTTGATTTGTTCTCTACATTTTTAACAGGAAGAAACACTAAATTTCAGTTACAGGTTAGTAGAAAGATCAATTCTTTCTTCCATCCAAGTTCCCAAACTCCTGAATTGTATCCACAGTCTCCTTGGGCATCTGTGTAAGGTGCCCCTGATAAAGTATTCTGCAATCTAGAAAAAGTTACGACGTCACATGAAGGAAAACTCAAGCTCTTTTCAGGCACAAACTTTAGAAGATTACAGGATCCTGCAATGTGCCTAGGCTAAAGGCGGCAAGCTTCTGCCATTTGCAAACAAAGTGACCCTGTGAGACCCTTAGCAACTGCCACAGCTGGGCTCTGGCCGAAGTATCACACAACAAATAATGCTTTCTTAGTTAAATTATTCTGTTATTACAATATTAGTTTATAATCTTCCGTCTATGACAGTAGGGATGGTGTTTCCTATCTTGTTTACCATTGAATCCAGCAAACAGTACAAGTTCAATAAATATTTGTTGAATGGCTGTATGAACAAGTAAATGAAAGGCAAATGGTAAGAATTAATGAACAATTCATAGAACTTGCCCTGCTAGCTTGATCTTTTGATCTAAGTAGTGTTTTCTTCAGATAGTCTTAAAAGGTTGAACAGAAATTTACCCTATGACCCAGCAATTCCACTCTAAGGAATCTACTGATGAGAAATGAAAACACATGTCAACACAAATTATATGCAAATGCTCATAACAACCTTCTAAAAGGTATGTCTATATCTGAATCCTGAAATCTATCAATGTGACCCTCTTCAGTAAAAAGATCCTTGCAGGTCTAATTAGGATCTTGAGATCATATCATCCCAGATTACCTGGGTGGGGCCAAACTCCAATGCCAAATGTCCTTGTAAGAGACAGAAAAGACAAACATGGAGGAGAAAGTCATGTGAAGAGGGAAGCAGAAGTTGAAGTTAGGCAGCCACAAGCCAAGTTACGACTGGAGCCACCACAACTGGGAAAAACAAGAAAAGATTCTACCCTAGAGCCTGTGGAGGGAGCATAGCTCTAGCCATGTCGGATGTCGGATTTCTGGCCTTTAGAATTATGAGAGAGTAAATTTTTGTTTTAAGCCACCAATTTTGTAGTAATTTGTAATGGCAGCCGTAGGAAACTAATATAGTACATAAAGAATAGTAAGTCCCTCAGATGTTCTCCAAGAGTGGGGTGACCAAGGAAAAAGTCAGAATTAACAGATTACCTGACATGTTTGACAAGACCGAAAAAATGGTTTAGCTCTCTTGGGAAGTTTCAGAAAGAATTCATGATGAGTACATAGGAAACTAGTCCTCTCTTAGGCAATCACTGACATCAGGTTAGTATTCATAGTGTACTATATGTCTTAGTCATAAACAACTTTTCCATAGAATATTATCACTGAATATTGATTTATCCAAAATCTGTGCTATAATCAATTTGGTAAGATGATGGGGTGTATGTGTCTGTGTGCATACACATGGAGAATACAACGAAGTTAAGCCTTAACCTTCTTTAATAGAAAATAAATCAGTTGATAAAGTGAAAGGAATGAAAAAATCCATAAAAGCTAACAACAAAATGTTATTTAGAAATATGAAGGTACATACCTGAAGAATTAATAGTTTAAAAGTTGTTTGCTTCTTGGGAGTGGATGTCAGATTAAAGATTGAGTAGCTCACTGTAAGCCATGGAGCAACATTCTAATATACATACTATTATTTTATTTTAATAAAAATTAATAATAATAATAATGAGAGCCTACACAGTAAAAAAAAAAAAAAAAACCTAGGCTAAGAAGTCAGAATTCTGGTTCCAATCACAGTTCTGCTATTTACTAACATATTAACTCAGGGAAAGTTATTTACCTCACTAAGCCTCAATTTCTTTATCTAGAAAATAGGAGTGTAATGATCTACCTCATAAGGTGGTCATAAGGATTAAATGAGACAACTTGTGAAAGACACTGAGCAATTCACATGCCACCAAAATATTAATAAATACTGATTTTAGTTTGTTTTCATTTTGCACCCCCTAAAGTTCAGCAGAACTAATTGGTGAACAAAAACCATTTCAACCCTGCGTTTTAAGAGTTGTTATCAACTTAACTATACATATCTATACTTATCCCCCTTTCCTCAACTCAAAGAATTTGTATTCTTAGTACTAAGTAAATTTAGCACTTTATCTCATAAGTAGTTTTATGTTGTTTTCAAACTGTTTTGCTTATGAAACTCATCCATTTGTAAACCATTTCTCTTACCCGCTATACTCCTACTTATATATTAGGTTAACATAAAAAAACTGCTGATGGGTATACACCTTCCCCATCACTGTTATACTTACTGTCTTATAACTGTGTCCAGCCAAGAAGAATTTGCTTCAGGAACTTTTAAACATGCCAAAGCTGAAGCTTTTATGATGAAGTCATTGACGGAAATTTTGCTTTTCCCTTCTAACATCTGCAAAAACAAGAAACCATTGCAGTTTCTTAAATTCTCTTCCCGAAGACGAACTATATAATCTTGAGAAAGCAGATGGAGGGGAATATACAATTGTCCTGAAGTTAAAAGGATGAAATGAAACTAAAAGTTGGTTCTTTCATCTTTTGTAACGTAGGCCTTCACAGCTGTAAGTTTCCTGCTAAGCACTGCTTTAGCTGCATCTCATACATTACGATATGTTATATCTTCATTTTCATTTATATCAACAAAACCAAACGCTGGTTCTTTGAAAAGATCAACAAAATAACAAATGTTTAGCTAGACCGATAAAGAAAAAGAAGACTCAAATTACTGGAAACAGAAATGAAGTAGGGGACACTACTATCCACCTTACATGAACAACCACATGCCAACACATTAGGTAACCTAGGTGAAATTGACAAACTCCTAGATGAAATGGACAAACTCCTAGAAACAATCTACCAAAACTAAATAAAAATGAATAGAACCTCTGAATAAATCTATGATTACTAAAGAGATTAATTGATAATTTAAAAACTACCCGCATAGAAAGTCTAGACCCAGATGGCTTCGCTGGTTGAATAATACCAAATATTTAACAAATTAATATCAATTCTTCACAAACTCTTCCAAAAAAAACAGGAAAGAAGGGAACACTTCTCCACTCATTTTATGAGGCTAGTATTAGCCTGATACCAAAACCACCAGACAGGTATATCGCAATAAAAAAAAAGGAAAAAAAAAAAACAAAACACAAAATACTACAGATCAATATCTCTTAATATAGAAGCAAAAATCCTCAAAAAAAAAAAAAAAAAAAAAAAAACTAGCAAACCAAGTCCAGTAATACATGAAAAGGATTATTCACCATGGCCAAATAGGATTTGTCCCAGGAATGCAAGGTTTTTTAAACATCTACGAATCAATTAATGTAAAAATAGAATATAGGACAAAAACCACATCATCTCACCACACAGAAAAAGCATTTGACAAAATTCAGCACTTTTTCATAATAAAAACATTTAACAAACTAGATAAAATAGATCTACGAAAACTCCACAATCATCATACTTCAGTGGTGAAAGACTCATTTCCCCCTAAGATCAAGAATAAGATAAGGGCATCCACTCTTGTCACTTCTATTTTAACACTGTACTAGATGTGCAAGCCAGAGAAGTTAGGCAATAAAAGGAAATAAAAGGCATCCAGACTGGAGAGGAAAAAGCAAAATTATCTCTATTTGCAAATGACATGACTTTGTATAGAGAAAATTCTAAGAAACACACTAAAAAACAAGCTTTCAGGAAACAAGATCAATATACAAAAGCCAACTAACTGTAGCCATGGACAATCTGAAAATAAAATTTACAATACTATTAAAAAGAATAAAACATCTAGGAATAAATTTAACTAAAGTGCAATAACTATACTATACTGAATATACTCTGAAACTCTAAAAATTGTTGAAAGGAATTAAAGAACTAAATAAATGAAAAGACATTCCATGTTCATTGAGTGGAAACACTTAATACTGTTAAGATGGCAATATTGCCCAAGTTGATCTACAGATTCAATGAAATCCCTATTCCCTTAGGGAATATCCAGAATAGGCAAATCTATAAGACATAAAGGAGATTAAGTGGTTGCCTAAGACTTGGGGAGGATGGGAGACTTGGGGCAGGGGTTATAACGAAGAGGTACGTGGTTTCATTTTGGGATGATGAAAATCTTCTAAAATTTATTGTAGTGATGGTTGTACAACTCAGAATATACTAAAAACCACTGAATTTTAAACTTTAAATGGGTGAATGGTATGCTATTTAATTATATCTGAATAGACTATTTAAAAGAATTGAATAAGATAATACATTGGACATACACTTTTATGTTTAATTTTCAAATAAATTTATTAAAAAATAGCTTTAATATTTTGAAATATGCCATCATCTTTAACCCTTATAGCCAGTTACAAAACTGTGGTGATGCTTCATTGCTTCATCCATTCATTCATGCATCTAATATATGAGAGCCTGGGCATGTAACTTTAAAGCCCTGGAAATAAAGCAGTGAAAAAAATGGGTAAAAATTCTACTCTTAGGGAGCTTACAGTCTAACTAAAGGGGATAGATACATAATAAATAAGTGAAACATATAGTATGTTAGTGTTAAGTGCTAAGGAGAAAAATAAAGCAGGGAAAAAGAACTAAAGAGAGAACTCATCACTCAACTCATTCTTCCCCTAACTTTAGAATAAGATGACTAGAGAAAACCAGAGAAGTCAAATCAAAGAGATGAAAGAGGAAGCCAGGTAGATACTATAAGAAGAGTATTCCATGAAGAGGGAACAGCAAGTGCAAAGCGCCTAAGTAGGAATATATAAGTGGAGTATTGAGGAATAGCAAGGCAACCACTGTGTCTGCAGCAGAGTGAGTAGGAAAGTAGTAGGAGAGGAAGTCAGAGAGGTTATAGATAGCCTGTGTAAAGCTCTGTATGCCACTCTAGGGAATCTGGCTTTTACTTTTCACCTCCTTGAAAACATCTTTCATATCCCTCTCTCCTACTCCATCCTTAACAAAACCCTCTAATCCAGACCCTTATCACCATCATTTCATGTTTATATGACAAGCAAAAATAGTCTCTACCATTAAGGCATGTCAGTATATATCTATTAGACCAACTTTTCTGAAAACATTGCTATCATCATATCATTTTTTTTTTATTTAATGTTTAATTCATCAAGTCCAAATTCTTCTGCTTATAAATCAAGGTCTTCCCTAAACCAACAACTGTGTATACACTCTAGAAAAAGTAACCTATCTCCCATATACTACACTTCCTTCCTTTTTTTAAAGCACTTTAACTTTATTATATTCCATCACAAGAAGGAACTTTCTTTAACTCTTTTGTCAACCCAAATGTTTCCTATGCTCCATAGCTCAACCAAATTTTCCTACACCACTGAATTCCCCAACTACTTTCACTGATCTCCTTTCTCTGAACTCCTGTAACACTTAACCTATATAATGTAATCTAGCAGATGAAGGCATTACCATAACAAGACTGATCTACAAATAAATATTTATATTTTAATAAAAATTGCATCCTCTCTTTTTCACACACATTATCTCCTCAATTACATTATAAACTCATGGAGAAAGATTATGTCTTAAATTGTGTTTCCAAAAGTGCCTTAGGCTAAACACTATATAGATGCTTGGTACTTAACTATAAACACAAAGTAAACATACTATTTCTTACCCATCAAAAGACTGAAGTAGTCTCATAGAATCATAGTGATTCTGCTAGGCTAAAATGGATCCATGGTAAAGTCAACTTTAAATGATAAGCTTTAATTAAGGATTAGAAAATGAAAATTCACCAGGATATTCTTTGCAAGTTAAAATTAAGATGACACCCATTTCCCATCATCAACTGGCATACTGTTACAAAAAATATGGGGAAAATGTCAATGTTTAATGGGGAAAAACAAGATTTTTAGAATTTACAGAGTTGGAATTTTCAGATTTCTTACCTTATTAAGTTCTTTCCGTACCAACAAAACTTCTCCTACATTTACATCAATAGAAAGGTAATAATGAGGTATGGTTTGCTTAGATTGCATTAACCGCTGTGCAATAACCTGAAATCAAAGAGATTCAAAAGTCAGTTATCTTGAGTTAAGATAAGACCTAATTCAGAGCCCTGTTTGCTCCCTTTACCCCGCTCCCTGAAAATGCTTACTTCAAGCATTATTAGATTTGGAAGACAGAAGACTGCACCATACCTTAGCCCCTTCTAATAGTATTTAATCAGAACACAGTATTTGTTTATCCCAAGTATTTAACTGCCCAAACTTCTCTTAAAATAGCCATCTAAAATTTCCTACAAAAAATAGTCTGTTAGCATTTCAAACCATAGATGCAATAAAGATGCCCTTAATAGCTTTAGTTCCAGACTTATGGTAATACTCTTACTCGACGAATGTTGCTGATGGGGATATCTGTGAAAACACCTGTAGGAACTGGTGCCACTCCTGGACCCGGGGGAGGCACAGCAACAGCTCCTGGAGCCTATGAGAAGGTAAAAAAAGCTCTTAGTAACTGCGGCTCAATCTTATAAGCAACTGGGAACGACTAGTGACTCTTTTACAGATGACATATTAAAAGGCTCAGAAAAAAATACCTATTTCTATCCAAAGAGAGAAAAAGGGACTCAGATTTGGATTAAGGGTTTGTTTTAATTTTTATACTTAGAATTCTGAAATCATGTTTTGCGTCATTTTTCTTTGACAGTTCAATGACAGTTTATGTCAAAATAATTTTGTTTTTGCAAAATTATCTTCGAGAAAAGCAATCGAAACGTTCTTAACTTGAAAGGATCAAGAGATAAATATAAACAAATAATTCATTTTCCTGAACAATGTTAAGAAAAAAACAATGAAAAATCTTTCATTTGAATGCAAACATCTAAATAACTAAATCCTTTTCCTTACTTTCAGCTGATTATCTTAGCCCTTTAGCCAATCAAACAGAGGTTGGCTATGTGATTTTAATCCTCATGTGGGCTAATTAACCAAATAAAACTCAAACCCTAATTAACCAACTTGTAAGCATGATTTTAAAAATAGGGCCTGAAAGAAAAGGAGAAGATGTATTATTTCTAATGATACTAAAAAAATTTAGTATCACTACTGAAAAAAGAAAAATTTATAGGTGAATGACATCAATTCATATCTATATACTGATAGCCAGTGAAATTAGACAAAAGAATACACAGTTCTGGTTCAGCTATTTCATTCATAAATAATGTACGAAAGGGACTAATAAGCTGGACAAAGCACTTTGCAGGGACAACCTGGGGGAAAAAAGCCAAATGTAACTCACAGGAGCAGCTTTAGTAGGCACAAAAGAGTCGATGTCCTTCTTGATGATTCTGCCTTCTGGTCCCGTCCCTAGAACAGATACATAAATACCACATAGATGAGAGTCTACTGCTGGTTCCTCAAGGAGATCTTCACTGTGATCCTGAAGTGCAAGTTCCTAACAAAGACCTTCAAAAGGAATCGCTGCCTTAATCCTGCCCCCTAAAGTTCTTCCTAAAAATACCAGCTTTTGTCAGTTATTAAGTTTAACTTACACAGAATACTCTTGCTTGATCTGTAGCGGTTCAACTATAGCAAGTATTCTTTTAAAGTTTTATCTCATTAAGTTGTACTTTATTTTTTCATCTTTACGTTTAAATCAAGAAATACCAGCATAAGGATAATGCTGAGTAATATTTATATCTCCAAAAGGAAGACTAGGTGTCTCCTCCGGATTAGCTCAAAAAAACCCTTTCTGAACTCTGAAATATATCTCATTTGGGTTCTAGACTCATTTGGTCATAAAGAATTCCCTTTGTTCAGAGTCGACAGAGATAACAATTGTTTTAGATAAATCAGGCAAAACAATTTTTTCACCCAAAATAGCATTAATAACTCTCAGTTATAATGATCTCATCTTTAGAATCATTCATTTCTTATATGGTCTCCATTTTTCACAGCTTTCTCACAGTAGCCAAGGCTCTAAACTAGCCTGTGTTAGAAACTCTGAAGGAAGTAAGTACAATGTCACACATGAGGAAAGACCTTCAAAGTTCTCTGAATAGGTTTAATTTTATTTTCAATTTCCTTCCTTCTCCCATCCACAACTTCTTAGGTTTAACTTTAGACCCAAGTAGATAATACTGAGCCTTAATTCTATGGAGATTCGGAATTTAGTTATTAAAATACCTTTTACACTGGCCCACTTCTAGAAAAAATTTGGTCAAATTGATTCCTCTTCCCCCAAAGCAGACTTTTAAAAGGATTCTCATTGTATGCAGTTCATCCCAACTCCTTTCCTTCATTATGAAAATTGAGTTGGCTAGGATTGTGTTTATTCTCAACAGGAGCTCTAGAACAGAGGTAGTAGTACCCCTATTAGATTCCCCTCCTTTATATAAGACAGAAACAATAACCTCCCCTTACAACCAAGGCTGATCTGGACACAGCAACCCCTCAAAAGGAGGAAAGCTGCAGTACCACCTGCCTTATGTTGACCTTCAGCCACTCACAAGAATTTCTTATTAAGACTTAGTTGAAATCTTTAAAATTCTTTTGCCTATCTCCCTAAGAAGGCACACTAGGGCATCATAAAGCAATATGGTATAAAAGGAAGAATACTAGAGTAGGGTAAAAAATGTAGGGCTGTTGTCAAATATAAATTAGATAGATAACTCTAGTCACTTAATCTCATCTGGTCTTCAGACTCATCCACTGGATAGAGATTACAATACCAGCCCCTGCTAACAGGAATGCTGAGGATAAAATGAGATAGTGATGAAATTGCCAATAAAAAAACAGTCACAGGGATGTAAAGTACAGTATGGGAATACAGTTAGTAATATTGTAATAACTATGTATGGTGTTAGGTGAGTGCTAGACTTATCAGGGTGATCACTTCTTAAATCGCTAAGTTGTGCTCTTGAAACTAATAATATTGTATGTCACATGTAACTAAGAAAAAATTTTTAAATATTTTAAATAAAATAGTGATATGAAAGTACTTTGCATCAAAGAAATATAAAACATAACATGAGTAGCTGTGAGACAAATTAAATTCTGAACATCAGGATCTAGAATTTAAAGGTTTCTCCCCAAATGATTACATTTTAGTCATATTTGCTAGTATGTCCTTCCAAGGAGGGAAGGGGAATAGAAGATAGAGTCCAACAACCAATGGCCAATGATTTAATCAATCATGCCTTCTTATTAAAACCCCTATAAAAATAAAAAAAACTCTTGAATAATGAGATTTGGAGTTTCTGGGTTGATGAATACATCGATGTGCTGGGAGGGTGATGCTCCCAGAGAGGGCATGGAAGCTCTACACCCACCTCCTACAACCCATATCTTGTCGTACGCACCTCTTCTATTTGACCGTTCCTGAGTTGTATCTTTTATAATAAACTGGTAATAGTAAGAAAAGTGCTTTCTTGAGTTCTGCAAATCATTCTACTAACTTATCGAACCAGAAAAAGGGGGTCTTAGGAACTCTTGATTTACAGACAATGAGTCATAAGTATGGGTGGTCCCCAGGACTTGCAACTGACATCATTAGTCGGGGCAGTCTCGTTGGACTAAGCCCCTAATCCTATGGAGTCTGATGCTAACTCTGGATAGCTGGCATCAGAATAGGATTGAATTGTTGAATGAATACCCAGTTGGTGTTGGAGAACTCATTGTTGGTATAGAAAAAAACACAGCTAGTATCAGAAAACAATACACAATTACTGATCCTCTCAGCTCACTTATTCTAAACCACTCGCTCCCTCTACTGTAAAATTTCTTCAACGTCATCAAGACCTTCACTTCAGACCCCTCTGTTCTCATCATCCATTGTCTCCCTCTTGTCCTCACTTTCTCCTTACAAGCTTATACTCTAAGAATCATTGTTATATATAATCACTCTCCGGTCAAACTCTAAAACGTTTGCCATCTCAATGCCACCACCAGAGTAGCTTAGTGTTGCTAGCAAGGCAGAAAGTACATACCTAGCTGAATGACTGTTCTATAAATTCAGAGCCCCAAACCTAAAGGAGACACATAAACCTATCAGGAAATTAAATTGTTTCCCTTTAATTCACTTTCCCAGCCTCTGAGAACACTACTTCACAATCTCTCTAACCTCAAACCTCCCCACGTCCATTCCCTCACTTCATACCTTATTGATCAAAATAAAAGCAACCAGAGAGGTACTCTACTCATCCTCCACCATCAAATCTATAAACCTGCTCCATAATATCTTTTCTTATAAAAAGACAAAATGTCTTTAATTCTTACCAATCCCATAATCTCTTACAGTCTCAAAACTTTGTACCTTGCCCTTTCTCCCTTTCTGTATTATCAATTTATGGATTTCTACTAGACTGGTTCTCAACCAGGATAATTTTGCCCTGCCCCTGCCACAACCGCCACACTGTGGTGTCAGGGTAGTTGGTGCCAGATTATTGTTGAACATGTGGCAACGTTCAAAGAGATTTTTGGCTGTACTAAGTGGAAGAGGCTACCATCATGTAGTGGGTTGACATCAAGGATACTGCTAAACATCCTACAATGCACAGGACATCCCCCCCAAAAACAATTATCTGTTCAAAAATGTCAGCAGTGCTACTGTTGAGAAACTCTATACGAGACCCATTCTCCTATGCCCTCTCTTGAGCCCATGTCCTCCCAAAGCTATATCTCTATTTCTACGCTTTATTTCACAGCAAAGCTTCTTGAATGAGTTGTCCACGATGCTATCTTATCTCCATATCTTCATCTTTTTTTTCACCTTCAACCTATCCAGACTTCCTATCCAGACAACCTATCCAGACGTGGCTTCCACCACATCTTTCTTTCAACATTACTATTGGCAAATCCCCATATCCAATCTAGACTAAGTTCTGTTGATTTTATTTCAAAAATGTTTCGTGAAGCTGTCCATTCCTTTTCATTTTCACTCTCACCACCACTGTCTATGGCACCACAACTAAATCCAGAAACAGCATCTTAACAGGTGCCTTGGCTTTCATTTAATCCATTTACAAAGAGCAGGCAAAATTATCTTTTAAAATATGTCATTTCCTTGTTTTAATCTTTCAGTGGCTTTCTACTATACTTTAAATAAGATTCAAATTCTACCACGACCTGTAAAAGCCCTTTATGTTCTCACCCCTGTGCTTCTTCCAAATTCACCTCCTACCACTGGACCCTTTTCACTAAGCTCCGTTAACACAGGCCACTTTGATGTCCTCACACAGCCAAGCTTTTGCCCACTTCAGAATGTGTATTATTGGTCTCTCTACCCAAAATGCTTTTCCCCCAGTTTTTCACATGGTTGGCTCATAACTGACTCATCTTCCAAGTCAGATCAAATGTCACCTCATCAGAAAGATCTTCCCCAACCACCCTGTCTAAAAGCAATCAAGACTGAACATATACTCACCCTGTCACTAGTATATCATCTGGTTTATTTCTTCTTTAGCATTCAAATCATCTTATTTAATAATAATGTTGTTTTTATCATTATAACTAATACCTATATATGACTTCTATGTGCAATTACTGTTTAGTAACTTTTTTAATCTTCACCACGTATGAGGTATTAATTATTTTTATACACAAATGAAAAAAACCGAGACATAAAAGGTCATGCAGCTAGCGTATGGCAGAACTGGAGTTCAAACCCAAGCATTCCAGCTCCGGAGTTCACACTCATAAATACTAAGCTATATTCCCATTGTTCTTTTAATTCTTTATTGTTGGTAATATAACCCCTTGAAACTGAAATCCTGTCTCATGAGAAAATGTTGGATGTACAGACAATACTCAATGAGTATTTGCCTAACACATTTCACATTTGCCCCGAGAATACTCGCCGGCAGCGCCTGCAGCTGCGGCGTTTACCCCGAGATAACCTGCGGATTAAAGTCCTAACCTTACCCCTAAAGTGTGCCACAAAATATCTCCCTTTTATTGTTTTTGCATCGCATATCAAAAGTCTTTGGAAACAAAGTACATCGTTCTATTTATATAGCATTCTGTTTTTAGTAGTGGTATTCCCATTTACAAAACATAGTAATTCTCGATCACTGAAAATGTTAAATCCTAGATGTTCTGCTTTGTGGTGTTTTATGCTTTGAAATTTACCACATGAAAAAAATTATTAAATACTGATCATCATATACATTTCTGTTACATTAGAATGAGAGACAAGTTCTATCTCAAAATAACCCCAAGAAAAGTTGTTCTATTTTATTTTCATATTGAAAACCAGTCAGATTTGCTTCAGCCTCAAAGAATGTGCTTATGTAAAATTAAATTTAACATTGGCAGAGAGCTGCACTTTTTTTTTCTAAACAAGAAATGGGTTAAATAACAAATGAATCACCTAACTCTAACTGTATAAGAATACTGGATTTTCCCATTTGTATCTTTAGTAAGGTAGCCAGCGTTGCTAAGTACCTAATAAATGGTCCTTCTTTACTTGTCTAAATTCTTCAGATATAATTATTAACCCAATCCCTCCTCCCATTAAAGACTATTCCAACTTATATTGCTGTCCCTGATTCTAATCATATATATATAAAGAATGGCAATATACTATTGAAATAACATTAAGATGGAGAAAAGGGTCTCCCAATATTACAAGAGCCCTAAGGTCCAAAAAATTTGTAAACTTCTACTCTTATGTCTTTGGAGATTGGCTTGCCTTCTAACCACAAAACGACAGACTGAGACATGATAACCAGCTCTTAGTGCCTACATCTGGACAACTGGGAAAATAAAACACTATTTTCTCAAGTAGAATATAAAAACAGAAGGCAATATAGGGTAGTGGGAAAAATATAGGCTTTAGAATTAAACAAATCTAGATTCAAACTGTAACTTTACTACTTAAAAAAAAGAGAGATCCTTTAAGAGTCTATTTTTTATCCAAAAAATAGGGAATGATAATTTTTACTTCAAAAAGTGTTGTACAAATTAATGTGTAGTACTAGCACATAGTACTAGCCATCGAACTACTTTCCAGGAATAGCAATTTCTACCCTTTTCCAAATATGAATCTTAATTACCCTACATTAAATTTTAGATTAGTTTAAAAACATGTAAACATGAGGCAATAATAATATGAACAAAATGAATATGTATTGAGTTTTATTATTGTCTAGATACTGTTCTAAGCACTTTACCCATTTTAATGTACATTATTATCTGTTTTACAGATGTAAAAACAGATGGATTAAGTAATTCATCTAAAGATATATACAATGAAACATGTAATTTTATTAACCAATGTCACTGCAATAACTTTAGTAAAAAAGTCCCCCCAAATAAATACATATACAAGTTAAGTAATTCACCGAAGAGCATGGTACGCAGAAAATGATAAAGCCAGGATTAAATCCTAGCTGGTGCCATTCAGACCCCATGCTCTTATCACTAAGCTATACTTTTTCTTTGGGGAGAAAAAAGATGAGTAAAACATTCTCCTTTGCTCTCAGGGAGCTTTAGTTCAGCTGAATATGAATTTTATTATGTTAAGTCATTTTAATCACCCAAACTTCATGTTTTGTTTTGTTTATTGCTACAGTCAGCATAGCCCTAATACAGATTTCATCTCATTATATAATCCAGTCGTATAACCCAACTCTGCTGAACAAGCACATTATATTTTCACCAATAATTAGGCAATTCCCGTGAACACAAAGAATGAATAAAGCTATCTAAATTATATAGGCAGATCTTAAGACTAAATAAAGCATAATTACGCTTCTCTACTCTGTGGTGGCAACAAAGGCGGTATTTCCCTCCTTCCTTCTTCACCCCACTATCCCAGTTAAGAGGACTATGTATGTATATATATAGTTGTAGCTGCTAGTCTTACGGAAAAAACTCAATTAAATTTTAGCTTCACAACTCCATTCCATACAAACAGACTTACCTTTTACTTGTGTAAGGTCAATCCCTTTCTCTGCTGCCAATTTCTTTGCAAGAGGGCTAACAAACACCCTTCCCTTTGGTCCAGCAGGAGTAGCTGGGCGGGTGACTGATGGTGTAGGGGCTACAGGTTGGGGCGCTGGAGGAACAGGGGCCACCTTTTTAAAAAGTTACAAATTGTTAATTCACCACTGCAAATACTGGTCTGAAAGATCGAAAGTTTACATTTTATTAAGTCAAAGCTATGGTAATTAAATAATTTTTATCTTTTTGCAAAGATCATAATGCACGTTTTTCCTATTTAACCAAAACATACCAACATCAATAATAGCAATATTTTATGTCAAAGACAGAACAATGTCATCTTATTCCACGATAACATAGAAAGGCATGGAATTTAATACTGCTGACTAGTATATAATATCCTTATCGCTTTTCTTCACTTATTCTCTCACTGTTTCTTTATTGTCATTCTCTTCCATAACCAAGATGGTTTTGTTTTTACTTACCCTAACTTCAAAATAATAAATTAAGCTAGAAGGTTCCATGTTGAAAGTACCTCAAAAAATAAACCAACACTACTACTTGCCAGCTCTCCATGAATGTATAGCAGTGAGAAATCAAGATTTAGCTGACAAAAATGTGTACCTAGTCTAAACTATGATTCTGACATCAGCAGAAGCCTTGCTATAGTGTTATCAATGCTTGGAGTTCGTACAAGTTCCTATTATAGCATATAGTACCTAGTGACAGACTAAATTCTATGCAAAACAAGTCATGTTATGTCAAGATTCCAATGTATTACAAATATAAACCTGACCCGCTAGAATATGTGAATACCAAGAGTGTTGACAGTGACAAAGATTGTGTAATAAAATCTGTAGAAAATAGAGAACAAAGCATTACCTTCCATATGCATATCTACACCTAAAGCAGAAAAGAAACATGTCACCTCAGCTTTGTTCTCAACAGGACTCAAGACAGCAGGAAGAAAATAAAGCTACAAGGATCAAATTACTGACCATAGGTGAATAGTGCAGTGCCACATACCCTGTAGGTCTCCACAAATGTTATTTGACTATTTCCTTTCTCATTCATAGAATCTTAGAGCTGGAAGGAACCCAAATATCACCTAATCCAATCCCTTAATTTAGAAAAGGGTAAAATAAGTGTTCCCTCAATTAGAGAAGCATACCTACCGGGGGTGGAATAGGTGGTGGTGCTTGTGGTTTTAAATCAGTTACTTCAGTTGGCCTATAGTCAGTAAATGCTGGTATATCTGCCTCTTTTTCTACAATGATACAGAGTGGCGTTCCTAGGGGGACATCTCTAGTGCCTTCTGGGATCAGGATTTTTGCTAGGTAACCTTCTTCTTGTACTTCAAAACCTTAAATAAAAAGAAAAACTATTATGGAACTTAAAGGATCCCGCTATCCCACCAAACTCAAAGCACAGTTTTAAGTAGAAGGCTTTTCTCCTTCAAACTAGCTATATAACATTTGCAATCTATTTAATCCCTGTGTCTCAGCTTTTTTACCTACAAAATGGGTAATATAATAGTATCTCACAAGGATTTAATGAAAATTAAATGAAGAAATATTTTTCAAGTACTTAGAAATAGTACCTGGTACAAAGTAAATACTAAATAAAGATCTATTAAATAAAACTATGAGAGATTACAGATAGGGGTTAGTTCTAAACATTTTCCTAAAAACAACTCCAAGGGCAGTCCCTATGCAGACCCACAAGACTCCAAGATGGCATCACGTGTACTGCTAAAGATCAGAACTACATGGATGTTAAATTAAAGGACCTACTAGGCTTGACAGTGATGTAGGATTACATCCCTAAAAGCATCTCTGGAGTTTTTCAAAGAGGTTACATTTGGTATTACATCAAATATTTCAATGTAAAGAAATACAGAATTACTAGGGTTTCTATGGTATTGGCAACTTACATTTCATTGAGATGCTGCTTTTCTTAAAAGAAACCCAAACAAGAACGTTTGCAAAAGTAAAACTAAAGCCATTGCAGAGGACAACTTTTGCCTTTTGGATCTTGGCATTTTGCCTCCCCCATATCTTTGATGAATCCTTCCATTTTCCAGATGAGAAATAATATCCAGTAAAAAGTATGTTTAAAAAGAAAAAAGGAAAGACTCGAAGGCCACAACACAGTTTAAAGAGTTTGACCAAGGTAATACTTCCCTAGTGACTATAGTCTCTAGACTATCGGCCTCTACAGCAACATTGGTATGCACAGCAGACCTACTACTCCCAAGGTTTTTTGTTTGAACAAACATAATCTTTTCTTCTGATATCTTATGGGGAAGGGAGCACAACAGGCAAAAAAGATAAAAAGGAGCTGCCCTGGTGAAAGTGAGGGAAGGGGACAGCACACAGTAGAGTCCTGCTTGTTAAGCCCTCCTTTGCCCCAAGATGCCATCAAAAGGAATCATGGGGTTTAAAACCAATGATTTCATGATTTCAGAAGACAATATGAAACAGCCACTGCAGAGGACGCCCAGAATCTCCCACTGCATCTTTGGGGACTAGATAGAAAACAAATATATTTATCTAGAAATATCTATAAATATTATCACAAACATATGATTTTATGTGGGTTTTGTTCTGAGCATAAAAAATGAATTAGAAAGGAAATTTATGGAAATATGATATCTAAACAGATATAATATATTCTATCAGTCATTCTCAAACTATGAAAATAATCTAAATACTGGCTGCAGTTTTTCCCTTGAAGTCATCTTAAATTCTTCGGTATTTCCTACCTTGGAAGTTATTTTCTCCTATTTTCTCTTCATTTTTCCTTGTCTAGTTTAGAGAATGGAAGTTCTGATATAGCTTCTCAGTAACATAATAAGGTTAAAAAGCAAACTCTAGCCTAAAATAACCTCTAAAGCTTATATATCCCTGATTCAAGGAAAGTGCAGTATGGAACTGACAAATCTGACCGTGCACACTTTCGTTATGAAATACCCTGTTCCAGGAAATGAATTCCAAGAATTAAAATGTTTTATGTTATCACTCACTCATTATAGGACAGCAATCCTCTTCCCTCATTGGAAAACTCAGTGTCTCAATCATTAAGAGCTGAAGAAATCTCACCTATAGTGGCCTTGTCAGTCTCTATCTCTGCCAATAAGTCTCCTTCACTTAGCTTCTCACCCACTTTTTTTTCCCATCTCTGTACTGTGCCCATGGTCATGGTGGGAGAGAGGGCAGGAAGAACCACCTGTAGAAACAAACAATTATTGCTTAATACTATGAAGCCCTAGACACAATGGCACTTAGGCAAGCTTAGTTTTATGGAATGTTAGTGTCTGTGATAATCCAAATTCCCATGTGCCTGATACCCTCACAACAGCAAGTGATAAATAATGTCCCACCAGTTAAATCATCCTGCAAATCTTAATCTTTACAGTATCCATGATACTCTAACCCACTCTCCAAAGTTAAAAGCAATGAGCAGATGGGAAAGATTTCTTTCTATACAGCCAAAATTAACTCCTCAATATACAAGCAAAGAGCCTCTTTTTGTCTTTTTTAACACTAAGATTAGGCCAGAATTTTTCACTTTCACAGAATGATCTTGATCCAGACTATTCCATTAAAATTTTGTTATGCTCTGTATTAGCATCCACCTTTTCACTCAAAGGACACTGCATTTCTCCCAAACTTCCCAAATATCTTTCCAAGATTTAAAAAACTAATATTAAGAACTGTTCTTTACAACAGTCACTTCCACCCCAATAAAATCTACATACCAGATCGGCTGATCTAAATTAAAAATTGCTTTCCTATTTATATGGCTTGTGTGTCTATTGAATTTGGATGTTTACTTGGTTATTTGCTGTCTTTTTAGTCATCTGTATCTAATTAACAACAAGATTATGCTGAAAGAAAAATCATTTCAACTGATGTCTCAGGAAGATAAGAGGAAAAAGTAAAACGAAACAGAACTCTAATTAGAAAATTTTTGTGTTTTTCTTTTTCAGAATTGTCATTTTCACCTACTTCTTAAAAATTAGTGGACCTGAGATAAAGAAGATGTGGTACATACACACAATGGAATTCTACTCAGTGATATAAAAGATGAAATACTACCATTTGAGACAACATGGATGGATCTTGAGAATATTATGCTAAGTGAAATAAGTCAGATGGAAAAGGACAAGAACCATATAATTTCATTTGCATGTGGGATATAAAACAAAAAGCAATATATGAACAAACAAAACAAAAAAAACCAAACTCATAGATACAGACATAGAATGGTGGTTACAAGAGGGAAAAAGTGGTGGAGGGAGTACAAAGAGGGTAAACGGGGGTTAAATACAAGATGATGGAAGACTAGGTTTAAGATGGTGAGCACATAATATACAAATGTTGTATTATAAAGTTGTATACTTGAAATTTACATAATGTTATTAACCATTATTAACCTAATAAATTTAATAGAAAATCTTCACTTAAAAAAGAAATTAGTGGAGCTGATAATCTCTATACAGTATCTAAAAGGATAATTAAGACACAACCTTAACACTTGCACACAAAACCATAAGCATAAAATAGAAATGAAGTTTTATGTTAGACAGAATTATCTGACCAGGATGAAATAAATGTGTGAACTGAACACCAGGCAAAACTTCATCATGAGTAATTGTTAATAATATGCCACGGAGGGATTCCGGTCAATACGGCGAAGTAGGTAGATGCTGTGGTTGCCTTCACTCATGACTACATCAATATTACAACTAAACTACAGAACAATCATCAGTGAAAATCGCCTTAAGTCTAGCTGAACAGAAGTCCTACAACTAAGGACATACAGAAGAAGTGACCTCGAGACTGGTAGGAGGGGCAGAGACGCAGAAGGAGCTAGACCCACACTGCATGTAGCAGTTAAAAATCAGGAGGGGTAGCTCAGCTGTGGAGGACCCCAAGAGAACCATGTCCCAGCACCACAACAGACTCCCCAGCCAGGGTTCCAGTGACAGGAAGAGAAGGCCCCACAAAATCTGGATATGAAAATCAGTGGAGATTGTGGTTAAGTTAGACAGAGGGCTTTGGGAGTCCCAGGCACTCCTCTTAAGGGGCCTGTCCATAAATTTACCAGCTGACAAACTCGCTCTGAGCTCCAGCGCTTGCACAGCAGCTCAAAAGATGCCAGGGACTTATAAGGAGGAACTAAGTTGTCTGGCCTCAGGGCGAGAGCTGAATGGGAGCTTTCCCCCAGACAGAAGTGCTGGCAGAAGCCACTGTTCCTTTGTTGTTCCCTCACTCCTCCCAGCATACAGACACAGGCAGCCACCATATTTGAGTCTCCATCAACCTGGTTAACGCTGGTCACACCGCCATGGTGAGTCCCTGAGATCCCCCCTACTCAACGTGCAGGCCCACCCAAGCCACTTCCAGTGGATTTTCCATACAAATAGCCTGTCTTGGCTCATGCTGCAAACTTTCCTAAAATCTCTCAAACGTTCATAAAACTCTCAGTGTGCCCCATATTTCTTGCTCAGCAGCCCCAAGCCCAGCACTAGTGGTAGTCTGCCTCGGTTCACAGCTTGGCCCCTTGAGGCACATCCAAGCCCAGCGTAGGTGACAGCCATCTGTGGATTGGTTGGTGGCTCATGTCAGGTGGCCCTGGGCAGAGAACAGGCTGCGGCTAAACTTGGCCTGTAGCAGGGCCCCTCCCAGGAGGCAGTGGCCTGCATGCCTGGTGCTGGCTTCAGTCTGAGCTGGAGCACCACCCAGGGCCACATCCAAGGATGACACACCCAAAAAGCAGACTAGGAAGGCACCAGAGCCTTGCTAAAGCAAATCTTCTCCACAGAGTCAGCCCCTGTACAACGACTCCTCCACTGTAGTCAACGGCCATTCCTCACAACCAAACAGCCAGAGGGTCAATCCTTCCCACTGACATGCAAACAGCAAACAAAGTTCAACTACAACAAGAGGACACACACAACCAATACAAGGGACACACCTGGAGCACCTGACTCAGGTGTTCAGAGAGACTGCATCACTGGGCTCCCACAGGACACCTACTACTCTTAGGCCACTCAACTAAAACTGGGAGATCTAGCAGCTCTACCTAATACATAGAAACAAACACAGGGAGGCAGCCATAACAGGAAGACAAAGAAACGTGTCCCAAATGAAAGAAATAAGTTCCAGAAAAAGAACTCAACAGAATGGAGAGAAGCAATCTACCAAATGCAGAGTTCAAAATACTGGTTATAAGGATGTTCAATGAACTTAGGGGAAGAGTAGAGGAACTCGGTAAGAATTTTAACAAAGAAATAAGAAACATAAAAATGGCGATAGAAAACATAAAAAAGAACCAGTCAGAAATGAAGACTACAATAACTGAAATGAGGAATCCCTTAAGAGAAGTCAATAGATGAGACGAAGCAGAGGATCAAATCAGTGATTTAGAAGAAAAGGTAGCAGAAAACACCCAATTTGAACAGCAACAAGAAAAAAGAATCCAAAAATATGAGGCTAGTTTAAGGGGCCTCTGGGACAACATCAAGCATAACAACATTTGTATCATAGGCATACAAGGAGAGCAAGGAATTGAAAACCTATTTCAAGAAATAATGATGGAAAATTTCCCTAACCTGGAAAAGGAATTAGACTTACAAGCCCAGGAAGTGCAGAGAGTCCCAAACAAGATGAACCCAAATAGGCTCACACCAAGACACATCATAATTAAAATGACAAAAGTTAAAGACAAAAAGTAGAATCTTAAAAACAGCAAGAGAAAAACAATTAGTTATCTATCAAGGAGCTCCCATAATATTGTCAGCTGATTTCTCAATAGAAACTTTACAGGCAAGAAGGGATTGGCAGGAAAGAGTCAAAGTGATGAAAAGCAATGATCTACAATCAAGATTACTCTACCCAGCAAAGCTGTCATTTAGACTGAAGGACAGCTAAAGAGCTTCCCAGACAAAAAAAAGCTAAAGTAATTCATCACCACAAAGCCAGTATTACAGAAAATGTTGGAAGGACTTCTTTAAGACAAAAAAAGAAAAAAGATTAAAAATATGAATTAAAAAAATGGCAATAACTACATATCTATCAACAATTACTTTGAATAAAATGAATTAGGTGCTCCAATCAAAAGATAGGGTGGCTGAAAAAATAAGAAAACAAGGCCATTACACATGCTGCTTACAAGAGACTCACTTCAGATCAAAAGACATATACAGGCCGAAAGTAAAGGGATGAAAAAAAATGTTTCATGAAAATAGAAACAAACAAAAAAGCTGGGGTAGTGATACTTATATCAGACAAAACAGTCTTTAAAACAAAGGCTATGACAATAGACAAAGAAGGAACTAGTAATCCCACTTCTAGGTATTTATCCAAATAAACCCAAAACACTACTTCAAAGGGACATGTGAATCTTTATGTTCCGTGCAACATTATTTACAATAGTCAAGATATAGAGGCAATCTGGATGCCCATCAATAAATGAATGGATAAAGAAGAGGTGGTACATATATACAATGGAATATTACTCAGCCATTAAAAAAAAATGACATCTTGCCATCTGCAACAACATGGATGAATCTAAAGGGTATTCTGCTGAGTGGAGTAAGTCAGACGGAGAAAGACAAATGCCATAGGCTTTCACTTACATGTGAAATCTAAAGAACAAAGTAAACAAACACAACAGAAACAAACTCATAGATATAGAGAACATTTTGATGGTTACCAGATGGGAGGGCAGTTGGGGGGAGGTGTGAAAAAGGGGAAGGAATTAAGAAGTATAAAATAGTTACAGAGATGTAAAGTACAGCATAAGGAATATAGTCAATAATATTGTAACAACTATGTATGGTGTCAGAATGGTACTAGATTTAATGGGGTGATCGCTTTTTAAGTTATATAAACGTCTAATCACTATGTTATACACCTGAAACTAATATATCATATGCCAACTGTAATTGAAAAATAAATATATACGCGCGTGCACACACACGCGCACGCACGTGTCAACAGACCATGGAGTAGAACGTTACATCCAAAGAGAAAAATGATTCCTATACAGAAATTTCTGCAAATGAAGAAGGAAAAGTTCTAGTCTTAATATTTTAGAAAAGAAAAAGGATAGTGGTTTTTACTTATTCCCAATATCTGAAACACACAAATATGTATACAATAACCCTAATATTTAATAAAGTGACTTAGTTTCTTAGAAACTAATTTAGTTAATAGAATCAACAGTGATTGTTGGTCTCAGCTTTGTTGCAATGCTATTTATATTATATATGTCTATTCTATACTTATTATTTACTGTTCCTTTTCTCATTTAATACTACTGGACTCCTTCATCCACTTTTAGAAAACAGAATACCACATGTCACAGGAAAACACCAATTGGGAACTTTCCTTCAATAGACAGCACCTGAGGCCTACTGAAAACTCTATTTATACAAGGAGTAGAGAGATATAAATATAAATCATCCTCAAAATCTAACATAATGTTCTTGAATGAGAAATGCCAAGCATTATCCTGGCTACTACATTATGGGGGAGAAAGGTTAAAGAAACTGTCTAAGAAAGAAATACACAATGCATATATATATAGGCATATATATATATGCCTTACTATTGAATTGTACAACTGAAACTTACTGGATTTCGTCAACCAAAGGCACCATAATAAAAATAAATAAATAAACAAACAAATAAATAAACGAACTGTCGAAGTTCACACACCTGAAAATAACTAGAAATAAAAGTTGTCAATTTTCATGTTTAAATTTCTATTTACTTTCAAATGACATGATAGCCATATTTAATGCCAGTTTCTAGAATGTAATAGACTTCAATGAAAAACAACGAATAAATAATGTTTTCTAGAGCAAACACCCAGAGGCTGAGCCTCACCTGCATGTGAGTGGGATACGAGCTACCAGGAGCCTGCGCAGAAGGTGTAGGTGGTGAAGGAGCAGCAGCAGGGGTTGGTGCTGGGGCTGCTTGTGGGGTAGGTGCTGCTGAGGAATCCAGGGTATAATTTTTAAAGGCCTCAATATCCTCAGGTCTAAGGAAGAGAAAGAATGCATATATATAACGGGGTTATAAAGCAAATTGAGCTATGATAGAAGTAGTCTCCCATTTTCTCAATTCTGGGTTAAAATACTCCACTAATCACCTAAGTAAAAATTACCAGGGTACTACTCACTTTTCAACTGTGATACAGATGATCGATCCAACTGGAACATCTCTGGTACCTTCAGCAACAAGTATCTTTGCCATGTAACACTCCTCTAGGCTCTCAAATCCAACAGTGGCTTTATCAGTTTCAATCTTTTAACACAAAAGTAAGGAGTCAGGCTTGTGCTGCCAGTATGAAGATTAATAATAGCTTCTGTTTACAATCATACAGTTCATCTGAAATTAAAGCTTCTATCACAGATTTGAAAAGAAATTTTTTTTCAAATCTTAGTTAAAATTCAGTTTGGCTAGCTGCTGACAACTTATCTTGCCAACCTTCTCTAATATCAAGTTGGAATAAACAGTTTATTAAGCAAAAGATATAACTACCCACTCAGAAAGTTAATGCTCAGTTTAACTAAGCCGGTCTCTTCTAATTTCCATATTTTAAAACTTACCTCTGCAATTAGTTCACCCTCATTGATTTTTTCCCCTTCCTTTTTTTCCCAACGGGCTATGGTGCCTGCCTGCATTGTGGGGGAAAGAGAGGGCAATGGAACCTGGAGAAGAAAACGGAGAAACACTAAATTTTAAAAAGGCTATTTAACTCTCCGTCTGGTTTAATGTTTCATTCAATTTAATTTAATTTAATGCAAACATTTTTAGTCCCATCACAAGCTGGCGCTGCTGATACAAAAGCAGTTCCTGCCACCAGCCCTCCAGTGACAGGCTTCCCGCTCCACTGTCCTGTGGCTCTGACAGAGCACGTACCTTAGCAGACAACCACATATAGCCCCAGGTTTGGAGCTGTTCTCCGGAGAAGGAAGCTCAAGAGCTACAGCAAAGCCCGATATTGGAGAAGTGACAATGACATACACTGGGAGGGAGGTGGAGGATCACTGAAGCCTCTGGGGGAAGATCCGAGGCCAAGAAGTCGGCCCTGAAGGACAAGAGTCCTGCGAAGGACAGTTCTGGGGCTCACCTTCTGATGCGGGGGGAGACTATAATAGCGGCGGCCAGGCGATCCCAAAAGCTGCAGCAGGAAGTGATTCCGCTGTGTGGACCACAAGCTGTGGCGCCAAGTGCAGAGTGCCCGGACTCTGCCATACCCTGTAGTCGCGCTGTTGCAACGAACCGGAGCTGGACCAACCCGCGGGGTCACGCACGGAGCTCCTGGTCCCTCCCGCAAGGCTATCCATTGAGCCCTGAATCCTGGCCTGGTGGTCGCATTGTGGGCCCGTCGCGCACAGACGTGCCACATAGTGCCACCGACCCAGACACCCCAAAGCCAAAACCGTCTCCGGAGTGACCTCCCCAAGAACAGTGCGGCGTTGCCGTCAGGCACACCGCGCAGCCGCACGTTGTCGTAAAACGGGCTTCAAACATTCACTCCACCTCCTCCCCAGACCGTGAATGTGTGTAACATATGCTCGCGAGTGGGAGGAAAAAGGTGGCCCAGAGGATAGGAGTGGCTACTTTGGCGCCCCGGGGACAAGGGCGTTCCAGCGGAGCCAACGCAAGGAGCAAGTTTGGGAGAAATACAACGTTGAGAGGAACGGACAGTAGTAGGGTCCTAAGAAAGGAATCTCAGTGTAGGACGGAGCCCTAGCGAAGTGAAGGGCACAGCCCAAAGGGAGGGGCCTAAAGAGGCGGCGAGAGTTGGGCTAACCCGCAGAATGGTCTGAGAAGGTGGGCTGAGGGGCGTGGCCACGTTTTGAGGAAAAGCTGGGGAGTCCGGGAACCGCCCGAGGGGAGAGTCTGTTCTCTGGTGGTGTGCTGTCTGCCAACCCAATGGTAGGGCATCGCTCTGCGCAAGCTGTACTGAGTCACAAAGTTTTAATTTCAGGTTTGTAGCCCAACCGGAAACCAGAGCGAACAGGTTGTCCAGCCAAATGGTGTGAAGGTCAACCAAGTGAGAGGTACATTCCCACATTCAGGTGTACTGTAAGCAGAATTAAGCATGTTCCCTGTATGAAGATTTAGGTTTACAAAGCAGATTTTCATTCCTAATTTACCACAGTTTCCCTTTAAATCGCAGAAAGCTCGAAATATGTCATGCTAAAACTAAACTTTAAGCCTGTGGAACAGAAAGCATGTCTATACTGTTCTTCGATGTCTCTCCAGATTTTGGTATCGTAAAATAGTGGCGGCTGAATGCATGTCTTTTGAATTAACAAACAAAAAGGTTACCTACATTTATTAGGTACACTTTACTGTAGATATCATCCTATCATTAGAAAATATTTCTGAACTGAGAGTGACATTAGATTAGCAGGAAGCAAGTGCTATATTTATATCTCTTAAGTCCCCAGTGTACAGTTAGTTGGTCAGAGAACGCCAAGAAAACAAGAAATGGGAGGAAAACGCAACGTTTGAAAACATATTCAACTTTACTAGTAATTAAATACTTGGAAAATTAAAACAGCCAAGAGGTACTATTTGACACCTACTTAAATTAGAAACTTTAAAAAAATCTAAAAACAAAGTATTAATGAGATTGCAGAGAAAGAGATGCACTCTTTGGGGGCACTAAATTTGGTTGGTTTAGAGATGACAGTATAGTAAGGAATAGCAATTATCAGAAAAAGAGTTTACATTCACCACCACCACCCCACCACCCCCCGCGCCGCCGCTGCCAAATCCTATTCTGGTATCCTTGAGGCATTCAAAACAAGGTAAAAAAATATTTTAGTAGCTTTATAACAAAAAGAAATGGAAAAACATAACTATCCAAAAATGAGGGAAAGATTAAGCAGGCACAGCTGCCTAACAATAATATACAGGCAATACAATTAAGAAATACAAATTTTCCAAATGGAAAGGCACATTTGAAATGAGTAGAGCATTTATGTTGTTAAATCATGTAAAAATATTTACAAGTAACAATTGGAAGAATCAAAGAATAATTGTGATTAGTAGAAGAACTTATACTATTAAAATGTAATGATTTTGAACTGGCTAAAATATCTGAATACTTCCACTGCATTAGAATTTAATAACTAGACCTAAATTGGCCTTTATAGATGATCTTCTGTTTGCTGTTCACTTAGGTAGGCTTGCTTAAACCTTGTTTTGCATTTTTTAGTCCATAGCAAGTTTGCATTTGAATATACTTTTGACACGTGTAGCTAAATCGTAGGAGGGCACAGGTTAATCAGACCAGGGGGTAAATTGACCCCAGAGTTAGGCTAGGAATTCTTAGATTTGTCAAATTGGTCCTGAAAAAATAGGCTTGAACTCCCCTAAACAGATTAAGGAAAAAGAAGACTCAAACCTCTAAGGTTCTTATTTGTTTGCACATTTATATATAATTTCAAAAGAAATGCTAAATCAATGAATTCTCTTTGGTAATAATAATCTATTTTGTACTTACATTATAAATACCAGTAGTAAACTATCTATAGCAATAAAGTAGTCCTTATCTCTGCTCCCCAAGTAATGACTACACATGCTACCAGGGAGATCACTTGAGGAAATTCACCTTCACTAAATGTAAATTGCTTTATTGATTAGTGTCAGTCAATAAACACAAGTGAAAATGATTAACAGTATTTAGTTTGCAAACTCCATTTTATTCAGTTTGGTTTTTTTTTTTTTTTCAATTCACAAATCTGGTATATACAGGCAATTAAAACTGGTTATCACTTTGATAATCAGAAGCCTCTGGTATAACAGCCTTCATGAAAACATTGTAAAACAGGTGAATACACAATAATCTCTTTGAAAGTGATGGTTGCAAACATCCATGTTTCTGAGAAAATATAACTTTACATATATATTTTAAGCAAGCTATACCTCTTACATAAATTCAGACGAGTGTGCAATCATAATGCTTTATGAAAAATGAAAATTATAATTATAACCTAAATGCTTTTAAGTACTCCTCTTGGATTGGATGTAGAGCATAAAGACATTTTCCCTTAATTTATGACCATCCTGGTTAAAAAGAGTTGAAAAGTTGGTCAGTAAGTAGGATCGCCATTTCCAAGTAAGTTTAACCTTAATTCTTTAATTTAGAGAACTGAGTGAGAACAGTCTTCCATTTTTAAATGAAGACTTTTTAAGCTATTGAGCTTTCTGCTAAACTAGTTTTTACAAGAGGGTCATTTCTTTTTTTATAATTTAACAGGGTTTAGAGATTATTTTATGAAATCTAAACATTCTGGTTTCTTAGTTTTCTCAAAGAAAGAGAAGTTCAGCAGTAGCAGGATGGACTATCCCACATGAATGCTACTAGGGAACAATAAATACTCTGTATATGTCAAGAGGCCACCTAGAGTGCAGCTACATTATATCCAATAGGAGACTATCCAAGCCAGAGTGAATCAATGCACACTCCTTAAAAGTTCCTCTGTCTTTATAAACTGGAATAAGAATTACCAACACTTATTACACAAGAATTACTGGCATGTCATCTTGCAGTGGGGGTGCTTAATACCTGTGGCATATGAGATTAATGAGCTAAAGGAGGAAAATTATCTCATTTTCTCCCCTGAACTCAACTTCAGCCTTCTATGGAGGCACTAGGGCCATACAGCTCCTTTTCCAAAGGTCATAGAGAGAAAAAGATAAGGTAGAGGACTTTGAAAATTTTCTCTGATTTAATTCTCTCTGAAAAGGTAAATTCTACATAATGGTAAGAATGTTTGCAGAAAGAAAACTGACAAGTAAAAACTGATTTAAGATACAGACACTCAAGATAAACTGTACTGGAAATACAATAACAAATTTTGGCCTGATAACCCTCATGCTGTCTTATAGCAAAACACTAAAAGTCATGCAACAGAGAAATTGGTGACATGAGTACTTTTTCTCCAGACTTTCTGGGAAAAAGAAACTGAGAATATACTGTTTTTTCCTGTTTGCTTTCATAATGAATTATTCTTGCTTTCTTCCCAAACTTCTGCAGTCATTTCTGATGAGAAATCATTCAATAGGAAAATGACCAGGTAAACTTACATGAAAGACATCAGGTGTCTTTTGAGCTCCTTCTTTTTGCTAAAGGAGCAATCAGATTATGTAAAACTACCTCCACAACTAAAGTGGCAGGTAGAATTGGAACACAAGTTATCATTAGTATGTTTGTAATAAAATAAAGCTTATTTTGAAACCACAAGGGCTGATAAGAGAAGAGCCCATATAAAAGCTTCTGGGTTCTCTAGAAAATGGATACAGTACACAGAATGTGAGACTATACAGAACTCACACTCAGGTTATAAAAATAGACATGGTTCTCAGACAAAAAAGTAAATGAGTACAAAATAATTCTCCAAACATGAACAATTTTAAAAAGACATCTATATAAAACAAGAAAATGTCATCTCAGAGCTCCAATGAGTAGTCTGTTGAAATGGCTGGAAAGGGGAGATAAATTAGAGACAGACAGGTCAAGAACCCTGAATTGATCTGTCCGACTCTTTTTGGTTGGCAGTGTACATTGTTGGTCACAGGCAGACTGCTTTTGGGGGGCAAAAAAATCTCTCTATAAAATGGCTGATTGATTTATCATGTTTGCTAAATGAGAAAACCCAAGTCATTAGGTAATCTCTAGAAATTTAACTATTTTCTTTTAGCTTCTACACTTGACAATGTTGCACATGAGAAACAATTCTGGGTTTTTTCACCCAGAATCAACCCTGCCATTTACAACTCATGTTCCATGTCTCATTGTTTCTATTGTGCCCTAAAGGATCGATCTAGACTAAATATATAATAGAAAATAACTCTGGCCTTGAAATGAAGACGGGCAGACCAGTAACTCATGCTCAGTACTTGTAAATCACAAATACTGAAGGTAATAATGGTCTGTCTCTTTTTGACTGCCAAAGTGATGATGCCATGAGCTAAAGAAAGTCATGAGAGAAAGAAAGTCAAGAAAATATGGGTAGCAGCACCTTTCCATACCCGCCTGGATTTTTAAGGAGACTTTCACTCCTTATTCCTTTCAAACACAAAGTTCATCCATTGGAAGGGAAAAAAATAATGGCTCTAAAGTTGAAGAGTCCCCAGAGAAAACTAGCAGTACATGAAATATGCCCTCTGTGGGCCAAAGGACAAGTTGCAGAATCGGTTAAGACCCAAGAGGCAGCCCAAAGTCTTAGTTATGGTTTTAACATAGTGTAGCACAATATGGGCAGCCCTTTTTCCATCCAATCGACGTTCAGCACCATCCATGTCCAGTCCAAAAGATTCCTGAGGAGTGGCTTTCATCTTTGGTACCACCCCATGAGTTATTCTTGGTGTGTAATAGCTGCAAAGAAGCAAAAAAGCTGGTACCTTTGCCTTGTCTGTGAGTACAAATGCTGGGACTCTGATTGCTGTAACCATTGAGGCCAATTAAAATAATACCGTAACACATAGGAGTGATGCATCCAATTCCCAGATTCCAGATAACGGCAGCCGTACCCCTACAGGAGCAAGATCATCCATCCCTATTGGTTAAGGCCTTCGGTTTGTTGTCCTCCGAGTAGAATAAAACACTGTGTTCTGGCAAGGAACTCCAGATGAACCCATGGTCTACATTTGAACAGGGATTTTAAGTACCACATATGCTAGGCACAGAAACAGGAAAGGCTTGTGACTGTCACACTTGGAGAAGCTTCTGTTTTGGCAGCATGAACTAGAAACTTCTTAGTGTATTCTAGTTTCAGTCCTCTTTCCTGAGTGAAGCAGCCAGGTAGTGCCAAGTTCCACAAGCCCTGATCTAATACTCAGCATTAATTCTCTCCATGGTCTTCTTCCACCCAGGCTACAATTTTCCCTTCCCATCCAGGGATGGCATCATCATCATGGAAAACCTAGAGAAAGAAAAAAAGCCACGGTGAAAAATTAACAATAAGATAACGAGTCTCATTAAATGACTGCTGCTAATAAAAATAAGACCGCAAAAATAAAAGATAAGAAAGTGTAGAGGAAAGCTTTGCGTTAGGGTCTACGAGCCTTTGGTTTGATCCCTAAAGTTAAAACTGGTTAAAAAATAAATAAATACACACATACACACACACACATACACACACACACGTGTGTGTGTGTAAAATATTATATATCCTTAGTTCCACATCTATGAAATAGTAAAAGTATCCCTACCATGGCTTTGCTCTTTGAGATTTATAACAATTAATAAGTCAGTAACCATAGAGCACTTTGGGCTTCTTAGGAGAAAGTACTATTTAGGCATTAAATGAGAAAGGGGAAATTTTTGGTCCCTGGAATTATAAAGAAAGGGTTAGAAAGACCAATCTTAACACATTTGCATGCAGTTCTTTTCATCCATTCATTCAATTCATTTATTAAGCCATTAATAGAACAGGATTATTAAAACATCTCAGTGAGGAAGTCTTTACAAAATAAAATACTGTCTTTTCCAACCTTTTCATTCTATAACCATAATGAGAGCACTTGTAATATGCTATAACCCAGAACGCTCTTTCAAAAAAAGTCTATTTTTAGCAAGTTGATAATAAAGAGAAGCATAGGCTAAGAAAATAGTCAAAGAATTAAGAATAAGCATAGACGACGTTCCAGAAGTTCCTCATTTTTACTATCTAAGAAACTGCCACCACAATATATACAGTTCCATATATTCCTGCTTGTTTATTTTGCTCTACATAGGAAGGAGAACGTTTTCTAAGATTTGGTTTGGTCAAAGTGATTAAGTTCTTGAACTAAAGAAGCTATCGGCTTCTTAGGACATTCCCTGACCTTCTCAGGCTAGAGAATTAGACTGGTTTGAGGCTCTGGGAAATTTCTCTGACCTAGTTAGGGAAGCCAGGTACCTCCGGGTACTAATCCTTGAGTAGGAAATTCTGGGGTTCAGGAACAACCAAAAGTATCACCCAGACTCCCCAGGGATTCTGTACCTCCTCTTTGACAGTGCCAAACTCAGGATCCAGCGCTTTGAAATGATATCTGTGATTCCCTTCCCGGTCAATAGCTGCTTTAAAATCTTTCAGTGTCACCTCCCCCAACCTGCAACAAAGGGAGAGAGCACTAAAATAGACTTTATCAATAGGTTGGAAAGATAAGGTGCAAACTTTAAATCTTGGTCCCTGCCAGTCTCTTGAGGCAGAAATAGCCTCGCCTTGTTAGGTCACTGCCCCTGAGAACCTAGATGAGCCTAAAACAGCAAGAGGTTTGGGAGCCAGTCACCATTAGGAGCTGAAAATGCCATTACATATGGGGTGATCTGAGAACTTAAAATAGATTTATTGCTTCAGGAACAACCGAATCAATTTTCTCTGGAAATAAGACATAAGGTCTCTGAAATGTAGTCTGTTGAACTATCAATATGTCTAAGCTGTCTTGATTTACTTTTTTTCAACAATATTCCATTCTTTAGGCTGAGCTGTCTTGATTTACTTTTTTTCAATAATATTCCATTCTTTAGGCTGATAGAATTAAATTAGGTATTACTATCTTTATCCTTCTGGCTTCAGAAAGCCCTCTAACTCAGACCAAGTAAGCAGACTATCTAGGAAAGGGAAATACTATCACCTTTCTCAGTAGTTGGTTCCACAGTTTAAAAATTTTTATTTCAAAGCCATTTACCTTAGAAGGGAGTATATTAGCTGAGTGTTTCAAAGTTTTTAACATGAATTCTCAATAGGTTAGTTGCAGTCATCAAATAGTAACAAAGAATCATGAATAAAGCCCTGGAGTGCCACACTGTAATCGGTGGCTATCGGCACAAGCTATTTTGAGCACTTAAAAAACTATTTTTCCTAACCTGGAGCATATTTGCATATCAGGATGCATGATATTGTGTCTATGCCTAGCTGTAGATCATGAGTTGTCTGCTGTAACTACAATCTCTATCCCCTATGCCCTTCTCACTATACCATACTGCTTCTCAAATACCTCCCAGCTGGTTAGATGGGCAGTAACTAATGATTCTGCCTTCCTGTCCTTTTAAAAAAAGAAATAATGATCCTAGAATCTCACCTCTTTGGTATATTGACCATGAAGGGCGTAAGTGACCGGTCAGTGAAATAGAGCACTTTAGTGCAGGCACCGCCGACAGTTGGAGAGCTCTGCGAGTGAGGCAACTCTGCAATTGGAGAAAGACTTTGTGGTCAACTTGCTTCTAGTCACTCCTCATTTCCAGTTATTCAAAATATCCCGGGAAAATGAAGCTGCCTGAGATCACAGTACAGCTTTCACATGCTTGCCAAATACCGTGTCCACAGAGTGTGGCCCACAGGAAGTCACCAATGGGGCCACAAAGACAAGTACTTTGGACATAGACACACTCTCACAAGGCCCATCATTTCTTACCCACTCCAGGTATTTCTAAGAGGGAAATAGCAACTGTTCTGACAGGCATTATTGCTAAGAGTCAGTAAAGCCCAGCAAGATTTCAGCTAGGGCATGCTGGACACACAGCAAGAGGTGCAGACCCTGCCGACATTTAGATTTGGGAGATTGGTGGAAGAGAACGCTCACGCAATTACTGAAAAGAGAATAGGAAAAAAAACCATAGGAGTGAATAACCTTAGAAACTAAGATTCCAAGGGGGCCTCATGCTTCCAAACTAAAATGTATGAGACCTACCTTATCCCCTAGCTACAGAGGATCTGTATGTGTTGGTCCATGGTTTTTAACTCAGGTCTCTTGATGCACATTTTGTATCTACCCTTTGTATAGGTACTTATGGAAAAATGTTATTAATGAGTACTTGTGATTATAACTTTGAGAGAACAGGAGAAAAGACCAATCAGAAACTTTTATCACAAAGACTAAAAAAACGATAAACTTTCATTAAAATCTCTCCTGAAATTCCATCTACGCATACTTTCTTAACTTATTCTAGGCACTGATTCCAACCAAATTTGCAGCCATAGGAGAGAAATTCAAGAAAGGGGTTTAAAATAAGGGAGAGGGTGAAGGGAAGAAAGACAAGGGAACATTCTCTCTTTGTAAAGCAATCAGTCAGTTTTCAGAATTTTTCTTCAAAGAATGTCAGTTATTGAAACCTACATGCTCCTTTAACTCCAGCACCTAGGACAGTGCCTGGCACATAGTGGCTATTTAATAAAATAAAACTCACTTTAATTGTTAAATTTTACAATTGATTGATTTATTCAACATTTATTGCACACTTACGTGTGCTAGATTGTGAACATATAAAATTAACCACATGTGGTCTCTAACCTCAAAGAGTTTACAGTCTAGTATGGATGACAGATGTGATCACAAATAATTATAATACACTAAAATCAGATTAGTACAAACTGCACAGGAAGACTGAAGATGGAGTGGTTAATTCCACATGGAAAAAGTCAGAAAGGCCCCACAGTTGGAGAATCCTTATACAAAGCACTTTAAAAAATCTTCAGCTAGAGACATTGGAAAGGGCATTCCAAAAGGGAAGGATACATATAAAGGCATGAAATGTAATCATGTATTTATAACTAGTAAGGCTGGAGCACAATAAATATATCGGGAAGTTGTGGAAGATGAGGATAATAAAATAGGCAAGGGCCAGATTACAAATGACTCTGCCAGGCTAAAACATTTAGATATTAATCTTAAGCTCTGGGGAGATACTAAAAGGGAGTGATACATTCAGACTGGCATTTTAGAAAGGCCAATCTAGCAGCAAAGTAAAGTACGAGTTGGATGGGAGAAACTCTAGAAACCAGTAATCCCATTAAGAGGCAATTAAAACAATCTAAAAGATGAGGGCGGGCAAGACATAGTCCTGGAACCATACAAGGGATAGACTTGAGAAACTTCTAGAGGGGAAAAATCTTGGTACTAGGGATGTAATTGAATGTCAGGGGGAAAAGATGCATGGTAGTACTATTAACTAAGACAGGGAGACAGCAGCAAGTTATGCCATCCATTAAAAATGTTTACTGGGTGCCTATCATGTATTAAGTACTAGAGATGCAAAGATAAATTAGATCCAATCTCCACTCTTAAAGAGCTCTACCAGGGGGAGAGGGGAGTGAAATAGCAAAACAGTTACAATATAATAAAATATGAAATATTGCTATGTACTGAATTCTGTCCTTCCAAAATTCATATGCTGAAGCCCTAAACTCGCATGTGACTATATGACAGGGCCTTTAAGGAGAGATTAACGTTAAATGAAGTTATAAGAGTGGAGCCCTGATCTCAAAGAACTGGTGCCTTTACAAGAAGAGGAAAGACATCAGAGCTCTCTCTCCACCACGTAAGGACACAAGAAGAGAGTGGCCATTTGCAAGCCAGGAAGAGCCCTCCCTCACCAGAACCTGACCATGCTGGGACTTACAGTCTCTGGAACTGTGAGAAAATAAATTTCTGTTAAGTCACTCAGTCTATGGTATTTTGTTATGGTAGCCCAAGCTGACTATACAAATGTTATGTACACATTTGCAGGGAATTACAAGGAAAGAGTAATCATAATGACAAACACCAAACAGAACTCTAGTAGATAAAGTCAGGTTTGGTCATCGATGACATTAGTGAGAGTAGTTTCAGCGGGTTAGTAAAGAAGACAGTTAGATTGCAGAGACTTTTCTAGTGAAAAAGAGTAATGAGGGAGAACTAGTCTTATTCAACATTAAACCATACAATAAAATGATCATTGTTACTTCAGTATGGCATTACTATAAAAATCACATACAAAAAACTCAGAAAATAAATGACCCAGAAACACATCTTTGTGTATAGTTGTGTGTAAATTTAAAAGGCATCATAAATAGGTTTTAGCTTTTAAGTTTAGGTTTATGACCATTGGAGTTAATTTTTGTAAATGGTATGAGATATGGGTCAAGACTTTTTTATATGGGTCTTCTAATTGTTCCAGGACCATTTGTTGAAAAGCCTATCCCTTTGCCATTTCTTTCTGGTTGGATGACCCAAACCTTCATTCCTTTTACCACTGAAAAACTTTTTACAGTTGTTGCAAGTCAACTGACCAAATACATGTGAGTCTATTTCTGAACTCCCTATTTTGTTCCACTAATTTATGTGTCTATCTATTTACCTATACTGCACTGTCTAACTTTTTAGTTAGTTTTGAAATCATAGTGTGGTCATCCAATTACTTTGCTCATCTTTCTCAACTTTTTTGTTGTTACTCCAGTCCTTTTTTGTTCCATGTAAATTTTACAATCAACTTGTTTATATCTACAAAAAGTCTGGTAGGATTTTTATTGAAATTATATTGAAGCTATAGCTATAGATCATTTGGGGGAATGGACCACCTTAACAATGTTGAGTTCTCCAATCAATTAACATGGTCTTTCTTCCAATTTCTTTAGATCTTCTTTGATTGATTTAATGTTTTACAGTTTTCAACATAGAAATGTTGCACATGTTTTGTAAGGTTCATATCTCTGTATTTAATGTTTTTTTGGTCCTTCTATAAATGGTAAACTTTTTTTCTATTTCCAAATATTTATTGCTAGTATACAGAAGTGCGATTGACTTTTTATATAATGACCTTATGTCCTATAACCCTTGCTAAACTCACTTCTTAGAGTAGCTTTATTATAGATTCTTTGGGATTTGCTACATAGACAATCATAACATCTACAAATAAAGGCAGTTTTTGGTCTTTCTTTCTAATCTCTTTGGCTTTTCTTTTCCTTTCTTTTCCTGCATCTATGTTCATTAGAGATACTGGTTTTGCAATCAGGATAAGATAAAACGTGTTAGAAAGTGTTGCTTCCTCTTCTATTTTCTGGAAGAGTTTCTGTAGAATTGGTTTTATTTTTTTCCTTAAGTGAACCCATCTGTTCCTGGAGTTTTTGAGGGAAGGAACATTTTAACTACAAATTAAATTTAATAACTATAAACCTGTTCCACTTATCTAATTCCTCTTAAGTTTTGGTAGTTTGTCTTTCAAGGAATTTATCCATTTCATCAAAGTTGTCACAATTTATGAGCATAAGGTTGTTTGTTCCTTAATTATGCGTTTACTGTCTAAAGGATCTATACTGATGTCCTCTCTTCATAATAGTGGTAATTTGTGTCTTTTTTTTTTTTCCTTGAGCCATCTGGCTACAGGTTTATCTCTTTTATTACTCTTTTCAAAGAATGAGTTTTTTGTTTGATCGACTTTATTCTAATTTTGTTTTCAATACCATTATTTCCATTCTTATATTTATTAGTTCCTTCTTTCTTCTTTCTTTGGGTTTAACCTGCTCTTCTTTTTCACATTTCTTAAGGTGGAAGTTTAGATCATTTAGGGGATCACTGATTTGAGATCCTTCCTCTTTTCTAATGTAGTTAATGCTATGAATTTCCCTCTAATCACTGCTTCTGCTGCATCCCATGAACTTTAATAAATTGTTTTCATTTTTTATTCATTTCAAAGTATTTTGTAATTTCTGTTATGAATTCCTCTTTGAGCCATAGGTTATTTAGAAGTATGTTGTTCTATTCCAAATATTTGAGAATTTCCAGATATTTTTCTGTTATTGATCTCTAGTTGAATTATATAATGGCCAGAGAACACTCTATATGATTTCAATTCTTTTAACTTTGTCGAATTTTGTTTTATGGCAAAATATATATATATATATATATGGGCTATCTCAGTGAATGTTACAAATGTACTTGAAAAGAATATATACTCTACTGTCATTGGGTGAAAAGTTCTCTAACTGTCAATCAAGAGTTGATTGAGAGTGTTTACCAGGTTTTCTATATCCTCATTTGATAATCTCTTCATTAGTACTATTGTTTACTGCAAAATGAGTATTACAGTCTCCAATTGCAAAAACTTTCTATCAGTTTTTACTTTATGTATTTTGAAGCTGTTATTAGGGACACACGTATTTAGGATTGTTATGTTTGCTTGGTGAATTTGGTCTCTTTATAATTATGTTATATCTCTATACCTGTAAACATTCCTTGTTCTGAAGTACATTTTTATCTGACACTAATATAACCATACTTTTTGATTAGTGTTTACACAGTATATCTTTTTCTATCCTTTTATTTTTAACCTACTTATATTATTATATTTAGAATGGGTTTCTTATAAACAACATATAGTTGAATCTTACTTTTTCATCCAATTTGACAATTTCTAATCTTTTAATTGATATGCTTAGACCATTTAAATATGTATATGTGTATGTATGTATGTATTTAGAGTTGACAAGATCCAGAAAACTTTAACTCTCTTCTTTCCTTCCTTCTCTTTTTTTAATTTTTATTTTTTAATTAGAGTAGACATTCAGTACTATATTGGTTTCAGGTGTACAGCATAGTGGTTAGGCATTTATATAATTTACAAACTGACCCCCCTGATTCATCTAGTACTCACCTGGCACTCTACATAGTGATTACAATATTATTGGCTATATTCCCTATGTTGTACTTCATATCCCTGTGTCTATTTTGTAACTACCAATTTGTACTTCTTAATCCCTTTACCTTTTCCACCAGCCCTCCAACCACCCTCCCATCAGGCAATCACCAGTTAGTTCTCTGTATCTATGAGTATGTTTCTGTTTTGTTTGTTCGTTTATTTTGTTCTTTAGATTCCACATAAAAGTGAAATCATATCATATTTGTCTTTCACTGACTTATTTCACTTAGCATAATACCCGCTAGGTCTATCCATGTCATTGCAAACAGTAAGATTTCTTTTATTTTTTAATGGCTGAGTAATATTCCATTGTATATACATACCGCATCTTCTTTATCTAATTGTCTATTGATAGACAATTTATATTTAATGTACTTATATATATGTTTGACTAGACAACAAGAAAGTTAACACTGATCTGACAAAAAGAACACGAAGTGGAATAACTGAGTAAAAGTTTAATCAGTGGTCTGAGTTGTGAATGGAAAGTAAGGATGAAAAAAGAAGTTTGATATAGGGTAATAAAAAAAAAATCCAATATTTTAATTGATATGCTTAGACCATTTAAATATATATATATAGTTACATGGCTAGCAAGTTATTGTATTTTCCAATGAAAAACATTTCAGCTAATTTGTGAATACAGATATTGGTTTAACACCTTAGTCTACTAGCAGCTGTGGATTTATCTGTAGAATTGTAAATTTGTGTATTTCATATACACAAAAGGATTTTTCCAGGGGAGGAACTTATTAGACTTTGGAAAAAGAATTTCCAAATAGTTACATTTATCTACATTGGCAATTTATACTAACCTAAAGAAAGAACTGGAGAGGATAACAATAAAATAAAAAGCCTCTTAAGAAAAGAGAAATGGCTGTTTCAAAAGAGAAATGGCTGTTTCAAAACAATGCTGGAAAAGTAAACTGAAACTAATTTTGGTACTAACAAACTTCGTTTCATTTCCAGTGTAGATAACCTCATTCACAAAGCTAAGCTATCTGGAGGCTTGAGAATATTATTTTATTTACCTTAAAAAAAATTCTACCTTTCATATTTGTGCAAATATTTTCAGTGTTTTATTTTAAGTTTTGTTTATTAATGTGGTTCTTAAAACTGTGTATATAATATATAAAACTGGTTATGGTTAGCTTTTTACTATTTGTTTTTTATAAATTATTTAGATATTTTTAGATTAGGCCTGGGTAAACTATAAAGGATAAGAAAATGTGAATGTTATTAGGCCAAAAGGTAAGATATAAAGTAAAACAGAAGTTACCAGGCAAAGTAAATTTCCAACATGTTGTAATGAACAGGGAAAAAAATGTAATGAGCGGGCATCAAGCCAGTTAAAATATACTTATCAGGTATGGACAGTAGATGGCGCAACGACTTCGCAGAACTTAAACTGAACGACATAAGTACTCCAAATTTTAAGGAAAATCCCCAAAGAAATTAAGCTTGCCTCTAGGAAGAACTGGAAATTTTCTGTGCTACATGGGGCTGTAGGATGTCTTGTGTGCATAGGATGACTTGTATGTGTGTGTTTGTTGTTTTACATTTTGCTTTGTTCAGTGTAAGTTTTGAGCTTGGATATTTTCCAAAGATATTTTAGCCTAAGTCAGTAGCATCCTGGACACCACTAAATGGTACTTGGGGTGATGAAAGTGACGATGATGGATGTGTCTTCATAAGTCCTAGAAATAACTTGATTCTATTATTGCTACAGAAACAACGTATTTTAAGAGTGAGGTACTATAAGAAAAATTCTATCCCATAAATATTAGTAGCATGAAAAACACTAAATTTTTGATCAAATATGCTAGGAGTCCTTACTGAAAAATAATGAGTACTTACTTGAATTAGGGGGCCAGGACTCCCGGTATTCACTACCTGCTTGAGTTCTGGGTGATTTGCCCCGAACCTGGAAAGCCACACAAAAATCACGAGTTATGATCAACAGGAGAACTTAACCAAGAAATTTAAATCATAAAAGTATACCTAAAATATAATTGTTTCTACCAATCTTCTTCCAAAGTATATTAAATTGGACAAATTTATCCTAACAATAATAATGCACATTTATAAAAGGCTTTCTAGTTTCCAAAGCATTTTCCCATACATTTCCTCACTCAGTGCCGAAAGCATTCAGCAGGGAATAGGAAGGGTATAATGAACAGTAAAGAGAGACCTGTTGGGTCAAGAACCACAATCCCTTGACAGTTACACAGTTGCTAGGAGCAAGAGTTATCATGAACTGCCTCCCTGGACTGCCATACCACTGACAGGAAAACCTAAGAGCAAAGCAACTGTGACCTCCAGGAGGTTCTCATCTTTTAGCAGTGCGTTCATCTAAATTAAAATTGATAAAATTAAGCTGTGGGGGGAGCTTGCCTAAGAGAAACACCATAGAAGGAGGATTACCCTTCTCTCTTGTTTCTTCAGGGTCTCCATGACATGCAGGCGCTCCATGAGGCTGGAGATGCCCTGCTCCAAGCTGTCGATAGTATGGTGCTGCGGGTCATGACCACTGAAGCTGTTGCGCAGGCTGCGGAGGGCATCTCGAACAAGCTGCAGGTCACTGGTCTGTGGGCAGAAATGAGATGCTGGCATGGTGCAGTGCCACATTACAACCACATCCCAACCACTGGACTGAGGAAGACACAAGGGAGAGACTTCCAGGATAGATCTTTGATTTTTGAGGGAGGAGGTGTGAATAGTAGGAAATTTCCCTTCACAGAAGTAGGCCTACTGTTTGCCCACTAATTCTTCATTTTGGATCGCAAGTGCCTCACATCTTTACACGCCCAACAGATGCAAGAATCAGGGAACTGGGATATAAAAGGCCTAGTCCACTAGCGATGGCTAAGGTATTCTTCCAGTTTTAGCTGAAGCAACAGGTCTGTACTCAAATCCAAAGAACATACCCCTCTGTGTGTGACTGAAGCAGCTCCTTTTCCTACCACTGGAGGGAGAAAACCATTGCTTTGAGAGTTGTGACTGTTGTAGCTGGTCACCTATAGCAGCAAGAAGAAATACCTGTTATGAGAGAATTCCAAACCAAGATGTCCTGCCTTATTTTTCTTCTTTACATTTATCACTTCCTGACATAGTATCTAATTATGTATTTATTTCACATCTCTCTCTATTAGAATGTAAGCCTCATGAGTGCAGAGATTTTTTTCTCTTTTGTTCATGGCTATAGCCCCAGTACTTGACACTTGGTAGGTATCGGTGAATGCAAAATGAACAAAATGGAAACCTCAGCCTGGAGGCTCCCAACCTAGCTTCTGCCTGGCCACTGGATGGCCTGCGAATGCTGTTCCAGCAGGACCTGCCTTTGCTTCAGTAATTAAAAAATAAGAACGGCTAACATTTCTTGAGCCTGACTGTGCCATGTGGATCTACCAAGACTGTGTTTGGTGATCTACGTGGATTATCTTATGTATGCTTCAAAACAGGAAAAAGGGCAGGGCCACTGTTATTTCCACTTTCCAGATAAGCTTCATTTTGAAGGCTAAGCAAATTAAAGTCACACAATGGTCAAAAAGTGGTAAAGCTGAAATCTTAAACCGGATTTTATCCTGGAATCTGCATTCCTAAGCCCCTCACCAAACAGTCTTCTAACAAACCAACCTGTGGCCTTGGTTCAGCCCTGAGTCAGAAACAGAATCTCCCTCTTTGCCCTTGTAAGTGTGGGAGACCCCGAGTTGTAGATTACCTCATCCGCTTCTCTTTTCATACAGTGAGTCAAAAGGACATCTTTGTGTTCTAGCTTCCACTCTAGATCCACCTGCAAATCAGAGACTAAATCAGAAGAGAATTTCTCCAGGCCAGAGTGGCAGGAAAGTCAGTGGCTGAAAATGTTCCCACCTGCTGATAACTGGCCTCAGAGAGTTTTTGGAGTGCTTCTTCCAACCTGACCTGGTGCTGCTGAAGGAGGCGATCCTTCTGCCCCAGGTCTTTCTGCAATAGAAAGCTTTCAGATGCGTCGCAAAGCCAAGGGCATTGAACAGTTAGTTCACTCTTTGCGATGCAATTTCCATCTGAGAAAAGTAAAGCCTCAGGGAAACAGTCCTTTCCTCAAGCTACACCTGGAAGGCATCACACACCATAGCAGTCTTGCACAGTGCAAAGGATTCTTGGAAGGGTAAGGATAAAGGGAATTCCCCTTTGTACAAGGACCAGTACGTGCCATCCATGCTAGTTAGAAATAAAAGTTAAGACTGAATTAAAGTTTCCAGACTCTTAGTTCTTTGCTCCTTCTCCTAGCCATGTTCTCTATCTCCAGGGTTAGTGAATCAGGGAACACAGAAAAAGATTCCCTCGCTGAAAGCGAGGATGAGGACAGAGTACGTAAGTGCTCTTTGAACGACAGCAACAATGGACTGTTCATAAAAGGTCAGATGGAAGTCATTCCCATACTGATATTCATTCTTACTTTATATTCTCCCAAGAGCCGGTTCCTCTCATCTAGCTTCCTCTGCAGATCCACCTACAAGGATAAGAATTAACTAGCATGAGGTATTATCTGCCAACCCCAGTAGGAAACTAGCTACTTGGTAACCAGAGCTCATGTTAGCAGTGACAAAATACAGCACAGAGAGGGCATAATTATTGTAAAACCACAGAGCTGCTCTCCATGTTTTTAGTGAAATAGTCAAACTGTAGAACCACAATGTAGCCTCAGTGTCTCAGTGTCCTCAGTTGAAGAGTCAAGGCCGGTGTAGTGTGAGCTTTCACTAAGAACAGAGATGAGTCTGATGGGGAATAAAATAAGTGAAGACACCAAGAGAAGACATCCTAGAATTAAGAGATTAGGATGGCAGATCTAACAGGACTTCATATAGTATCCTATTTTGCTTCTGGGACACAATAAAGTCAGAGTTCATTCATTTATCTCACATTCTGGTTGTGCAGCTCATCTTTGTCCATATTTGCCCTCAGTAGTTCTTGTTTGAGCTGAAGAACAGATGTGTCCTGCTGAGTTAACCTTTGCTGCAAGGCATCCTGGAGAAAAAAAGCATACTAATTATCGTGGTTCCAGTTATTACAAAAAGTTAATTAAACCCCTCACTGTGTATTCAGTATTAGTTCTGGCAAACTGGGAGACAAAAGGAGTATAAGGGTCTTGCCACAGGAGATAAGCAGGGGGGTTTTTTTGTCCCCTTATAAGACACTAGCATTTAAAGGAAAATCCTATCATTGTTCTACCAAGCTGACTGAAACCTGATTTTTCTTCCACCTATTACTCACCACTACCCTCTACTTCACTCTTGACAGCGTGATATCCTAGAGAGGCTTTTGGGATCAGACAGACTTAGATTCGAATTACAAATCTACTTTAATGACAATGACTTTGGACGATGCACTCTCCTTCTGCCCACCCTGGCTTTCTCATCTGTATCTTAGGCATGTAAATAAATACTCCACCTACCTCTCTGCCAGCTCCCTATTTCCTAGGGGGTGGGACCTCTTTTTGCCACCCCATTCACACAGAATCCCCGAAATCACTCCCACCCTGCCTTCCAGAGCCCTGCCCCTGCCCTGCTACCACTGGATTCCGTGCCTCGTCTGGACCAGGACTGGGACTATATTTCCATGCTCAGAAGTCTTCTTGGACTGATGGTTTCTCTTCCCAGTATCCTAGAGTCTTACCAACCTTAGGCTATCTTTCCCTCAGCATGGACCCTGTTGATTTCTACCATGCTTAAGAAAAAGTAGGTTGTATATACTTACTTAAAAGGGTAAGCAGTAACACCTTCCTCCAACCACAGTTACTTCAAATAGAATTATGGACTGGAGCTGCAGTCTAGTACATTTACCCTGATTTTTCTCTCTTTACAGACTGCAAAGAAATAATGCGGGCTCTGGAGAATGTAGGAGCCCATTCTTAAAAACACTGTCTGCCATGATGTTCATTACACGGCAGAGAGATTCTAACATGCCCCTGGCATCGGCAGCCCAGAGGGACATTTCCCAAAGTGTGTTCTATGAGATGTCAGCAAGTGTTGCATGGGAGAAAGAAAAATGTTTCTGTGGTTAACAATTCTAAACTCTTTTTAGGCCACCCTCTTTATGAGAAAGGTCCTTTAATATGTTACTATTCACTGTGACTCTTCAAATTGGTAAGGCATTTCTCAAACTTATTTGACCATAGAACACATTTGTTTTCTAAAGTATCTCAAAGGACTAAGGTTACAGAATATACTCTGGAAAAAAATGCTGCTGAGTTACACTCTGATCTAGCCCATGAATGGAAGTGTAGGAAAAGGGGGAAAAGCAGCAGACTAAAAACATCCTTTTCCATTTCTAGGTATTTACACAGAGGATATGCTCCCACTTGGGTGAAATAACACATATTCAATGTCATTCGCTAGATCACTGTTTTGCATTTGCAAAAGATTGGATATAACCTAAAAGACCCTCAATAGGAGACTGATTTAATAAATTAGCATATGTACCTATACAGGAATAATATACAGCCATAAAAAAGACCTAGGGAGGTCTTTACGTACTGAAAATAGAATGATCTCCAAGATATGCTGCTAAGTGAAAAAAAATAACACGTCATGCTGTATTGATAATATACTATTATTTGAGGTGGGGGGAGAGAATTATACAAATATATATATTTGTTGATAACTGATAAGGTGCCTCCAGGAAAAAGAACTAGGTAAACGGGGGAACAGGGCTAGAAGTCAGACTTTTCAAGGATTATCCTTTGTACCTTTTACTTTTCACTTTAACATATCTGAATGTTATTAACTATTCAAAAACTAAGTAAATTAAAAATTTTTAGAGGAATTCTTCTTTAGAACTAAAGAAAACTGATTTTAAAAAAGACCCCTGAAACTGAAGAAAAATGTAAAAACTGATTGTTTTTACATATAGAAAAAATCAAGGTGGTACAGAGGAAAGTGACAGCACCAGGTAGTCATAACTACCAGAAATAAACCTCTGCAAAATAAAGGTATATTCCTCAACATTCCTGTCTCTTCCCACCCACAAAACACTCCCTTTACTGTTAGCACAGAGTTAGTTAAAGGCCCCACCAGAGGTATATAAGGAAAGACTAGGGGACCCAACTGGCCTCCCAGCACTCACTCTCACCAGTAGACTACTTCACCTTATAGAGAGTTTATTTAAAGAAATAATATCTTCTTTTTTACCTTTATTCCTTGTAAGTTTCTGGCTTCCTGTTTACATTTCAGCAGCTCCTTCTGCAAACCAAATATAGTTAGATCAGATGGTAGCATCTGGGCTGTTTCAGAATCATTACCTCACTCTGTCAGTAAGAACACAGAACTCAGATAAACGTTTCATGAAAAATTAACCATCTCCTGAGGAAGAAAACAGGTATGGTCTGGTAAACAGTAAAGGCTGACTCAGAGAAACAAGAACAAGACCCCTTCCATTCTGCCCTGTGGCACTCAGGCTCAACTGCCCAGGAAAAGAAGAGTCTTGCAAGAAAGAAGACACTATATATTCCCATAGGCTCTCATTCCTATATTTAGCAATCTTCATTGACAGGAAAACTTAATCATAATAATCTAAATCCCTCTCACTGAAATACATAATCATATCTTAATATTCCTACCCCCGATGTCATTAAATGATTATCTTAGTTTTTAATGATTGGCAAAAGGTTAGAGTGCTTTGATTCTCCAAGAAGGTACTGTTCTTTCTAGACCAAACAAAAACACATTTAGCCCAATCATGAAATACTAATTAACATCCCTTACAATAGATTAAATATGTGCATATGATCGTCACTAGGAAAGAGATTTTAGGAGAAAGCACCGGTAACTCCGACTCCACTCCACTCCACTCCCTTCCTTTCCTATTGTATCACATCAAGAGTTTGGAATTAACATATCTAAAATGGGTATTCTTAACCTGGATTCCACAGATGGGTTCCAAAGTCAGTCTAACAAAACTTCAAGTCAGCGAATGAACTCATGCATATTTCTGGGGAGAGGATTAATGACTTTAGTAATATAACTCCAAAATAGTTAAGACCCACTGACCTAAAAGAATTCTGGGAAGTATTCATTAAAAATGACCATACTTGACTATAAATGACCATACTGTACTATAAATATGAAAGTCGCTAAGAGAATTTAAAAGTTCTCATCACAAGAAAAAAAATTATAACTATGTGTGGTGATGGATGTTAACTAGACTTACTGTGGTGACCACAACATATACATATGCTGAATCAATGTTTTATACCTAAGACTGATATGTTATATGTCAATTATTAAAAAAATGAACCATACCGATATTAGATCCATTTTTAATTCTAATTAAAAAAGGAAAAAATGAAACACTACAAACATACAGAAAAGTGTAACCAAAAATGACATAGATACCTACTACTCACCAAAATTAAAAAGATGCCACCTTTTTGCCATATTTAGGACTTATCTTTCTCTTTCAATTAAAGACATAAAACAGATACAGATACAGCTAAAGTCCTAGGTCTGCATCCCTTTCCCTCTCCCCATTACTATTCCAACGTTTGTGTGTAACATTCCCATTATTTTTTTCAAAGAGTAAAACGTACATGTCCTGACATACCTTTAGGTCCTGATTCTCCTCCATACTCTGATCCAGACGACTTTGGATTATAATCTGAGTATAAAGCAAAGAGATAGTTATATACCTATGCTATGAAATTCAGAGGTCATTAACTCAACAAATATTTATTAAGCACTTATTAGATGCTAGCTAGCCCTCTACTGTGGCTATAAGGAAGAACAGGAAACAGTTCTTGTGCTCTAGTGGAAGCATTTATGCCCAGGGTGGAGCAAGAAGATGAATAAGAATAGAGTTTAGAATGACAGACAGAGAGAGAGAGAGAGAGAGAGAGAGAGAGAGAGAGAGAGAGAGAGAGAGAGAGAGAGAGTGTGTGTGTGTGTGTGTGTGTGTGTGTTGGGTGCAGGGGTTGGGCAAGCAGAAAGAGAAGTGGCAAGGAGTTGGAGAGAAAAACGGGGGCCAGATCATGAAAGGCCAGTGAGGGTGTTGCAGGATACTCAGACAGAGAGACGGGACACCGAGGCAATAAGCAGGAAGTAGTGTGTATTGGTGCTGGCACTGGCTCCGCGGATTCACATCCAAAGGCTGAGCTCCAATCTCACAGCAGGGTGTTCCTTTTTATACACGTCTGATAATTCCTCATAGTAAAGTGTATTATGATTGGTTGGCAGGCCATCAGAGGAGTGACCGACCAGGGCCGTTGGTCTTCAGCTATGACACTGAAAAGTCCCTTACCAATTATGGGAAGGGAAAGGAACAACCTTCAACCATTACAGGAAACGGTTAGCTCGGCCTCCGCTACCACATTGGCAATGGGGAACCATTAGTTTTAGGCAAAGAGATGACAAAATGAAGTTTGCCTTGAAGGTAAATTATTCTTGCTGTTTTGTAGAAAATGAATTAGAGAAGGGCAAGGGAAGAATCAGAAAATCAGTTAGAAGGCCACTAGAACACTGGATGAAGGCCTGAATTAAGGTAGTAGCTGTGAGGAAAGAGAAAACTATATGAAGATATTTAAAAAGTCAACTTAACAAAAGTTGGTGACTAATTGGAAGTAGAGGGAAGGGTTAGAATGGATTCAAGGATGATAATTCAGATTTCTGTTTTGGGCATCTGGGTAGATGAAAAGTAAAAATAAAAAAAAAATAAAAAAAAAAAAAAAACAATCCAAAAGGACAAGCAATTTTGGTGGTGGGAAGAAAAAAGCTGTTTAAATTAGGACTCATTGAAATGGAAATACTATGGGCCGTATAAGTGGAGATAATTAACAGGCAGTTACATGTTACATATACAAATCTAGAACTCCCCAGAGAGAGCTGAGGTAGAAATAAATAGTTGAGAGGCAACATCTGAGTCACACGGAAACTGAGTAAAGCCATGGAGGCCGACATTACCCAAGTGAATGTATAGGATAGGAGAGAGCCCAGAGCGAACCCTGAGGAGCACCAACATTTAAGGCATAGGCAGAAAAAGAGAAGCTTCAAGAGGGACCTGAATGTAAACTCCATAAAGATACGGTCTTAGGTCTGTTTTGTCATTAGTGAATCTCCAGCACCTAGAAACAGTGCCTGTAACAGTCGGCCGGCACTCAATAATTATTTGTCGATGAAAGAAAGAAAAGGGGCGAGGTGGGGCAGGTGGTGCGGGGGGGCGAAGAGAAGGAAAGAAAGAAAAAGAAAGGAAGCATAGTCAAAACTTTATGAGGAAAACCAGGAGAGACGGAGTCAGGGAAGGAAGTATTTTAAGAAGTCACGGACAACAAAGTCAAATGCTAAAAACAAATCAAATAAATAAACCTGACTATTCAGTGTCCAGTCAAGAGAGAAGGAACTCACCAATTGCTCATCAGGATTGGCTCCTGGTTCACAGAGGGCCAAGGGCCTCTCCTGTTCATCTTCAGGTAAGGATCCATTGAGCAGTAAGGCCTGAATTAACCCCAAAGGCAGAAACAAACTTTAACTCTCATCAGATAACTGAGTCTAGAGTTGGGCTTGGTAGGCTCAACCCATATTGAAATCGCAGCCAGGCTTCCTCTAGAAATCTCTTTCGTAATTTTTGATCCTTAGATATCTCCAATTGCTCATCTTGGATCTATCTGGAATTCCTTCTGTCGGGCCCAGGCTCTAAGCCTGTGTCTCCTCTCTGGGTGTTCCTGAATCTTCTGCTCCAAGTTTCATTGGCCCCAGCAAACCATCTAAAATAAACTTTCCTCTCAGAAATGACATTTCAAACCCGAGCTGCTCAAACTAAATTTTGCCACCTGGAAAATAAACTAAAAGCAGTGCTGAATTATCCTGGTGCAGAGGTTTATTATAATAAATTAGTTAGAATACATTTAAAACAATGCCTTGGGTTTGTTTCAATAATTCTGAATTTTTACTCCCTAAAGCAACCTGGATAAAACAAGAAGGAAAAAACATTTGCTTAGAGACATTCTCATTCATTTCCACTCTCCCGCCAGGCTTTATTTTCATTAGAATATGTACCCCACCCCCAGATTTACCTTGAAACTAAGAAAGCTTAGGACCCCAGGCCCCCATACATGCACTACCCTCCCAAGGTCATATATATAATATTGTATGCATATATGTAATCTTTTCTTAAAGATGGCCCCTAAAATTGTGTACTTTAGGGCTCACGAAACTTGGATCTACCCCTGCAGGTAGGTATTACAGGACCTATCAGCTCAATGAAAGATTTAAAAATGTGTCCCTATTTTTAATGTGTCCCCATATATAAATGTCTAACTTTTTTAAATTAAAAAAAAAAAACGTGTTCCCATTTTATATCGCAAGCTTTTCTCAATCCAATAAAAGAGAAAAATGACAGAGGTTAAATCCTATTTCAATAAATATAACACAAATGACACCACAAATGTTGGCACATAAAAACATTTAAAAATCCAACCACTGGTTGGTCTACAAAACACTAATAAAAAAAAAGTTCAGTAAATCAAATTAATTTGGTTATCCCATGGAGTTGTGGCAAGAGGTATAGGCAAGTATTAGAAGCTAAAGGGCTGCTAAGGGAGAGCAACATTACAGAAACTGACACCAATGGCCAAGTGTTCAACAGCCTCTAACTTAAGCATACTAATAAGTCAGAAATCCTGGACATAGCTTAGCATGCAACTTGTTCATCACTGAAGGAGTTAAGAAGCCCAGTGGATGCTGTGAGCCCCATTGTATTCTATACTGGAACTGAATTCTCATTGTGATCATGTGGCTGTGAATTAAAACTCCTCTGTTTGCACAGAATATTAGGATGCTGACTTTTCTGCCTATCAAGTCTCTTCTTTTTGTATCTAATCTGCCATCAGATTTCTCCCAGACAGCAAACCAAACTGAGAGCCAATTAAAGAATATCTATGTTCATATAATGAAATTATCATGGGATAAACCTGGTTGGGTATAATCCCAAAGCTTTCCATGCTTTAATACTTCCAATTAAAGGACAACAGTAACAACAACAAAAACCATTCTATTAATTAAACCCTTCCTTAATGGAGTGTCTAAAACACAGACCTTTTAAAAATATGGAGCAAATATGGGGAAAATGGACAACTCTTCCTTGGGAATGTTTAGGAGTAAACATTCCTCCAACTCTTCTCAGTTCCTGGGGCATACATTATGCAAATTGTTTTACCACAGCACCAAACTCCTTTTTTCTTCAAGAACCCTTTGTGTCCCCGCCCTGTTGCTGGCTGGCTGGGAGCACGCCCTCCACCGCCTGCCGGCTGCCAGAGCCACTCACATAATGTAGGCTTTGTTTATGTGTCCATAAATATTTGACAATTCAGAAGCAGTGCAGTTCCCAGCACAAACAGAAAGGGATATTCCTAGGCAATTTCAGGGTCATCAGCATACTATAAGGACTCCCCCAGATAGAGACAGACGCACAATGACAGAGGATTGGGGGGTCATTTCAGGGTAGAAACTAAGTCAAGTGGGTCAGCTGGTCTCTGGAGGCAGATTTACTAAGCTGGCATTGAAGATACAGGAAAACTGAAGGGCTTCATTGCTCAAAGAAAACCTCTTCCCCCTGATCATCATGCCTAGGAATCCACTTGCAAATGCATTAGGAGTACACTAAATCCCTGGGCTAGATTCAAATGGAAACCTGTAGCATTACTGGCTCTTCCACCCTTCCTGCTGGAGAATTCCGAGGAGAAAACCCCTGGCTATTCACGGTGCCATTCTCTGGGGGAAGCTGCAATTGCAGGTCTGTAGCTGCAGAGAGGGGAGAAACCCACCTTTAAACAGAGAACCAGAAGAAGAGTTTGGTAGGGCTCAATGATGGCTTCCAGACTTGCAGAACTAACAGCTGTGCCGTAAACAAGAGTCCATAACGTCCATTTAAGAGTACTATACTCACATAAAAGGAATTTTCTGCTCTTTGTGTAATACTCCGTCTATTAAATTCCCCATTCAACCCTAACCTTATGCAAAACTAAGTCAGTTAATTTCAATTGATACCAGTGATTTAAGAATAGTAATTGGTGCACCAAAGACAAACTACAAGTGAAAGAGTTACCTGTAATCCTGATATCATTTTCTTGGCTTCCTCCATTTCTTTTTCTAAATGTTCTTGTTGTTCCAACAGCTGTTCTTCCCATGAAGTCTCCAGGTAGGTTCCAGGGCTACCTGGTCGCCAGTCTCGGGATAGTGGAGAGTCTGTCTCCTCTACAAAATGAGAGGAGGAAATCCAGTTCATGTTGAAGAAAACTGAGATTCCAGCAGAAAGTGTTCACAGTCCGCTGCGTTCACAATTAGGTCACCTGCCTTCTGAACCTGTCCTCATTGCATAAACTGGACCTCCACCAGGTGGGGTTGTGAGACATAACGAGCTGGCTGTTAACTCAACTTCAGGCTCACAAAAGCAATACTTAACTCTGTTGGGAAAATATATCCTCTTTAGAATGTTTAGGAAGCAATAAGACTGCCTCTTCAGGAGTCTTGGTATGGGACATAGATTTTACTCTTAATTCTCCAGAACTGGCATTCTCAGAGCTTGATTCTGCTACGTACAAAGAGGGGAGCTGTCAGATGCAGAGAAAACAAAATTCCTGTTGGTTGGTTGCTCTGGAGCTTCAGGAGGGAGATCTCAACTTAATATTCCTTTGACCATTCTATCATAACTGATCCCATCATATATAACACCATGTGATTCACACAGGAAATAAACCAGTAAAAACACATTTGCACAAATTGTTTAATCTCTCTAATTTTATTTTCCTACCTTTACAATCTCTTTGCTCTGATTTCATTCATAAGAATGAATATAATAAGCATAATCCCTTTGGGTTGTTGCGAAGATTAAATGAGCTAACTTATGTGCAGGTCCCCATGGTGCCTGGCCCAGAGCAATCACTCAATAAATGCTCTCTCTCTCCCTCCCCAGAGTCCCAGGAGTTTCTGACTCAGTAACATGACTGATTCTTTGATACTAATGCCAGGGCTGGCAGAGGAGCAGAATAAGGAAGAATTTAATTCTAGTTTTTCTTCTGAGGACTTGGATTTCATTGAATCCCCTATAGGTGAATAAAACTCTATCTAAAATGTTTTGCTTCTTTCATGTTTCCCGCTGTGTTTATGTAAGTAAAAGGAGAGTGACTGAAACAGAGGAAGGAGAAGTCTAAATAAAGGGAACTCCTTGTGGTCCTTTCAGTAGCCCTCACACCAAGCCTGATAGAGACCTGCTCTCAGACACCTCAGATCCTACTCTATATTCCTGGCCCCACTTCAAGCTAGGGAAGTACTGAAATTATTTGTACAGCACAGAAATAATAAAAACTATTTACATGGGTAAGGCTTCTGACTATTTCCAAGTCATCTCCTAATTCATAGGCAGCTAGCTGAGGAACAGCCTGTCTATACCGCTGTAGGATTTCTGACAGCTAGGACACTGGCAGTGACATTCTGTAAGAGGATTATTATATTAATTGGCTCCAAAGCATTAGAGCCCTCTAGAGCTGATCCTGTATGCACAGACTATAGAGAGGCACAAGGCCAGGGAGCTTACAGGTAGATAGTCAGGGCCTCTGAACTCTTCCAGTTGAGGGCTGTTCCTTGAGCCAACCGAGGCAGGCTGAGAAATAGTACCTGTTCTGTTCTCTATTCCTTCAGAGGGAATAATCGCGAAATCTGCCTTCTCCGACTGGGTGATAATGGATTCACTCTTTGCACTGTGGACAGGACTAGGTGAAGTCAGGCTGTCATCGAAGAAAAAGGAAGAGAAACAACTATTTGATGAACAGTTGTCTTGAAGTCACCATTCATAATTTATCTCAGAGATATGTTCTTATTCATCTTACTCCTACTGCCTAACGCAGTACCTGGCCCACAATAAGAACGAGTATTTGAATAAACTTCTTGAATGAACGAAATAAATACTGAATGAACAAATGACCCAGCACTAGGAAATCTTTTTCGCAAGGCTGCCTTTAAGTCTAATTCATTCAGAGGAGATTTATCAGAAGGACAGGTAATCTGACATTTTACAGAGTTCCAAGTTTTGTTTTGTTTTATTTTGATTTGTTTTACTTACCACCACCACCAACTTTGGGCCCAAGTTGAGAGACAGATGTAATATGCGTTGTAGTAGCTTTGGGAGATAGGAAAAAAAAAAACTATTTCCGATACATTGATCTTTCACAGATAAGTAGCAATACCAGCAGAGTAATCACAGAAGATCAGCCTTGGGCTGATCCCAAAGGAGGGGATGAAATGGATGGTGCCTCAGTGGACAGAACTTGCAGGAGTGTAGACAGCACCAGAATGGGCAAAGGGGCAGTGATATATCAACAAAGCTAGGATGTGACAAGCAAAAGGGTAATAGGTCAAAGGGGGAAAAGACCTGCTAGGAGATAGTGAAGGTTTACCTGATTTGTTCCTATCAAAGAGTTATTTATATCTCTGCCACACTATTTTCAAACTGTCATCGGAAACCTCGCAACAATTCTTAAGTTCTGATATAATTACTATCCTTGGAAGGAACTGTTCAGATTTTCAGGAAAGTAGAACTTTAAATCTCCAGAATAGCAAATCTGTAAGACAAGCTGGGAATGTGAGGCGGATGCTCCTGTCTGAAGAGCCCTTTTTCTTTGCACCGCACCTTGAGAACATCAGCACTGAAACAATCTCAGGGGCTGTGGGGTCTGCAAGCCCAGCCCCCTCTCGGGAATTCTTTCCAAATCCATCACCCGGACAACAGTGTCAGTGTCTAGGATTCACTGACCCACTTAATGTGCCCCTGAAGTCTCCCAGGCTAATCCTCACAGCCACGATCAGGAGTTAACATTTCATCTTCTTAGAAATCTGTAAAAACTAGAGCCAAGCACAGTGGAAGTAGTAGAGACTTCAAAACCTCTGAAGCAGCCTGAGGACTAGGGTCTCATCTGCCGCATTGTCCAGAGTTTAAGGGCTTTGGTAGGAATGACTTCAAACAGTTATATATTCTCATCCTTATTAGAACCACAGAAAAAATTTTAATGTCATTTGCTTCTTTAAATTAAAGAAAGGAACTTAATCATAGATCTGCAACCTGAACAGGAAAAAGGGGTGAAGAGTGGCAAGAAGTGGTATTCAGAAAAAGTAATTGCTTTACAGAACTCTCTTCTCCATCTTTCACTTCTTAGGTAATCTGAGTTCCAGGCCAACATGAATCAGCTGCTGAAAAAGCACTAATCTAATGGTACTATGTCTTCTGTAAGGAGGACGATTCATGGCTGTTCAGGCTTCAGCATTCACCTCCTAAAAGAAATTGGGATCCAAGTGCAGACAGAGGCCTGCAACAGCTGCTCCTCTTTGAGAAATAATAAGACAACACTTTCTCAGCTGACGAAGTGTTATGGTTGACATGTTCCAGTCTGCATTTGGTTGGACCACAGTGGGGAACGTGTAAGACGAAGAGGGGGATTGGGAAGGGTGGTGTGAACCTGGAAAACAGCTTCCCTAAAACCAGAGACGCATGCTCAGCTCCACCTTCTCCCTCCTAAGTGAGCTGTCGCCCATATTAGGGCAATAGGAGGCGGATGTCTGCATATTCAAGCCCACTGGGGGAGTGGCAGAGCAGTCAGAAGAAAACAACATTTCTCTTTCTAGAATTAAGGCTGCCAGTGTGTGAGGCCAGAGAGGTAAGACCATGAAACTAAATGGCCAAGTTAAAAGAGAAAGAACCTGAGGAAGAAAAATCCTGAGGCACATGGCAGAGCAGGTATCTTGCTGCTTCCCCAAGCAGAACCTCATGGATGAGGATGGTGCATTTAATCCTCTGCCTCGAGTCAGAGAAAAGTATTTTCATGCTAAATTAATTATATGATAGATGATAAGCTCTCTTCGATTAGCTTAAAAACCTTATTTTATAAACAAGTAATCCCCTACTTGCCATCATAATCCTCTCAAGTCAGGGAACAACTGATTACAAATCAGGTCCAACTGATACACTTCTTAATTCCCACAGTTCTAACTCCAACCTTAATTAATTAGACAACCAGTCCCCTCGCAAAGATACTTGCAAATTAGAGTCAAATCAATTTTTTTTTTTTTAAATAGGTAGTGGGCGATGAGAGTCCAGCTCCCTCCTGAAGTGCCCTCCCTTAGCAGAGACAAGACAGGGTAAAGGGCCACTCCTCCTTCCCCTTTGCTGACTCTAGCTTCCTAAACCCACGGTATTTTATAGTGATAATCTCAGGCCAGCAGCCTGTTCTCCCCAATATAGCGCCCCCACCCATCCCCGTCTGTCTCTGGCTAAAAGCATCCCCCAGTCCTGGCCCTGTTCCCATCCATGCCCCCACCTCCAAAGCCAAAGTGGCCTCAGCTCACCATTTGACTTGCGTCCCTCCCATGGTCCCCCTCCTGGCTCCGGCTTCAGCAAGCCTGCTTCCCTGGGTGAGGTGGGAGGCTGAGACTCACAGCGCTCCCGAATTCGGGCATATCTCCCCAAGCTGGGGCCCGAAGAACGACTCCACGGACAGGCCAACTACCAGAGCTGCTGGCCCCGATAGCAGGAGAGAGTAGAGAGGTCAGAGAGGCAGGCGTCTCGGCCCCAGGGACCGGGATGCTCCTGGCTCCGAGGCGCGCTGTCCCGGCAGCTCAGACACTGCAGCAGCCCGGTCTGGGCGGAAGCCGACTCCCCTCGCAGGCTGCTGGTCCCCAGCAGCCGCAGGGTGGTCTCCGCAGCCACCCGGCTCCAGGCATGTCCCCGGGCGCAGGCATCTCAACCCATCTCCGACCGCGAGAAACGATCCCGCAGCTCCCGCTGCGCGGTCGAGTGCCGGCGGCCAGCGTGCGCGCAATCCCAGCCCCGCAGCGCCTCTCCACTC